TTGCTATTCAAGTACCATTCAAACAATAAATATCAACTTCCTTTTATTCCGTAATGTATATTTTTATGGCTTAACTTCTTAAGAGCTAGATTAGTTTAACTAAAACAATATCGTAAATAGCGGGTGTAAGTCTAGAAGTGGAACGATACTGTTATCTTCACAAGTTGCACAATGATAGTCCCGGTGCACGGATGTTTAATTGCCTCTCATTAAATGTACAAGTTGTAAGTAGAAAGTCAAGAGTTTGTTGTATCGAGCCCACTGTTAGGTCAACATAGTTTAGTTATCGTGGAGGTAAAGTTAAAATGGTATGCGAGTTGCTCTTTAGAAGCGGTTAACGTCTGACGTCTCTATTCATTACTAAAGTAACCAGCCTTCGCAACTTTGTTCACACAAACTCTCCGCTCCTACTTTCCCTATAAAGTAGACTTGTGACAGCGAGTAATGTCTCCTGTATATTGTTCAGGGGCTAAGAGGTTTGCGTCGTACTCGTGATGAGAAATGTTAACTTTTACTTCGTATTGTCTCTCATCAATTTGTTTTGAGTTTAAATTGTTTGCTAATTAAATGTAAGTAGTTTTTCTTGATTCTAGTGAAGTGATGAACGGTTTATGAAGTCGATCGTTAATCTGCTCTTAGGAGAATCGATTATGAAGTCGGTGAGGAAATGATCGGGCGCGGGGCGGGCGGTTGACAAATGTCCGTTATAAGCGCAGAACAAATTGGCGCAATTAATTACGAGCAGGAGCGCAGGCAGCGCTGAGCCAACAAATATTATCAAGATCGTTAATTTCGACATCTCACTGAGAGGCGCACGGCGAGATGATATTAGGCATCAAGTTAGAATGTCCGCCGCGCACTACATTAAACACTGACTCTTAAATATACATAAGACCGAAATAGGTTACCATAAAATTAGTAACATAAAACGCTCACTCGAAAGAAACAGGAGACAAAGTAATAATAATACTTTCATACATGTCCACTTTAAGAACTATAATTTAACTCATAAGTCACAAACATAATGAAATAATTCTGCAACAATATTAAAGTCTCATGAAACAACGAAATTTAAACAGACATATTTCTAAAACTTAGCAAATAAAGCAAACAAATATTATATTCATTCAGATTTGTTAGTAAAGAGTAATAAGAACGGTCTTGGATGTTCAAGTCCATATAAAATGAATATAAAACAGCCAGCAACACACGGCTCATAATGAAAAGTATATTATGTCGTATAAAAAACATTTATGGTATTCTTTAACGGCGCTTATTAAATTAAATAATTTAGACGAGTCGAGTCAGATCGGACTGTAAGGTGAAATAACAATAAGAATCACAAGACTCCCTTCAGCTTTGCCGCTTATTATAATCTTTTATTCTTTTCCATATTAGCTACACTCGCTCTCAGGAACAATAACGTCATAAATGCCGAAGCGATTTTTCATCCCTATCGTAAACCTTCGTATTTCCACTCGCCACGGTTTTATTTTACCGCACAAACAGTGAACGGGCTGCGGTATTACGTAATTTTTATTTGTATTTTTATGTATTTGGCTTTAAATTACACCGGCTACAATATAATTATTGAATGTTGCGTTGTTAAAATGTTATATACAAATTAATTACTTTTGGTAAACCCTATTAAATTGTGAACATAATGTATCTTATTATTTATAAATACAATTTTAATTGAGTTCTCTTTTTTTGAGATAACAAATGTAATGTCAGTTAAGTCTTGTCTAACTGAAAAAAGCCTGATACTACAAATGAGGTTAAAAAAGTTCGGGGTTTCGGCTTCGAATTTCAAATAACTTGATAGGATAATGCTATATATATAACGTGAGAATAAAATCTTGGATTAAAATTAAAACATATTGGATTACAGTAATTTAAAGTAATGTTGTGTTTTACATTTTCACTATTTGTTCTTAATATTAATGTTAGTAATATCCTCACCGTAGATAGTTCCAACATCTACATATCTAATTCGTAATGAGCAAAGTTAGCAAACTTCAGCCGTTTATTGGAACAGGAATCGATTAACGACTTGAATGGAGTTAGCGGCGCAATAAATATTTCATACAACATCGATAGTTGGTTATCGCCCGTGTTTATGGTCTTCATAAAAATCGCTAGGGCTGGGCTCGACGGTTTTATTCCACTATATCCGGTACCCAAACTGATATATTAATATTTTATTTACGAATAACATCTTGAAATAATCAACGTTCTTAACATTTGAAAAAAATTGTGTTGAAATGTACAAGGAAAATTCAATAATCTAGTAAATAACTTTCAAAATGTATTTCAACTTCCAATACAAAGTATACTTGTATGTTGCTCTACACTACACTATATGTAAAATGCTATAAAAAATAAAATCTATGATTAGTTTTTAATAATATAGTAATATTTAATTTGACAGTAATCATTTTAAAATTCATATGAAAACAAGATACAGGCTGTATTTAACGTTATATTGACTCAAGCAATCAGATTAACGCGTCCTTGCCATCTCAGTAAAATCTGACCTTCCTATTTCCAAGTTTTTAATATCACTAATAGATTACACGTATCGATTCGCAACAATGATTTTCTCATTTTTTTCCTTCATAAAAAATACAGCTTTATTATAAGAAAAGCATGTTACGAGAGAGATGAAAATTCCATTTGCGGTATCACCGAAATATTTTTTATTGCAAGTTATTTGTCAAGTATATCTTAATCGTTATATTATATTATTTGACTAGATGAACCTTTTAGATATTTCGTGTTTTGTGAAGGGAAGGGAGCTTTATAAGGGCCGACGTTTGCCCGCCTGATCTAAGTAAATCTAACCTTTTATGTATATTTTATTTCTGATAATATTCTGATACGAAGGGTCCTTGTATCATTCATTCAAATGACATTGGAGAATCGTTTCAGTATGTTTTGATCGAGAAAATATAGAGTTTTCTTTCGAGAGCAAAACCAAACACATATTGCGAGCAATGTCCCTTACATTGATTTCGTACCAGTCTTATTCAAACTCGCATGTTTCTGTTATTACTCTTATGGACATCGTTTGAAAGATTTATAGGGATGTATGTTAGTTTAAAATGTAAGGAAAGAAGATCACTTGTGTTTATAATATGAACTAGCTTTCGCCCGCGACTCCGTCCGCGTGGAGTTAAAAGTTGCCTATGTGTAGCCTATGTGTTCTTCTGGACTATCCTCTACATTACTACCAGTTTCATCGAAATCCAAAACAAACATCCATCCATTCCATCGCATTTACAATGTTAGTATGAAGTATGATAGTATGATTAGTTATAATATAATTTCGTAATTTTTAATTATTAACCAGAGAAAGTTGTTCCTTCCACAATTTTTATTTAGTATTAGATTTTTGTTGTACAGACTTTGCAATTTTGCATTTCAATTGGGTGAAATATTTTCTTATTTATATAAAGTTTAATAGATATCATGTCTTATAATATGACGCTAACAAATAGACATCGCTCCGGCGTGCGCGTTGGACCGACAAATAACGGTGTAGGGCCTCGCATCCCCCTGAAACAACAGTTAAGTCGAATTAGTAACATGGCTTAAGTAATAATTTTTTTATCAACAAAACAACTGAACTATTAATTAAGTTAGTTAATAGATATTCGACTTTGTCCACGTAATATTAAGATAAATAGTAGCCTATAATATGCCCGTCTATGTCAGCTACCCTTCAGTGAAAGCCCGGTCGAAATCGGCCTAGCCGGTTCGGAGATTACCCGGAATAAATTTTTTACACAGACAGACAACATTTTTTTAATCGCGATTATCGTTATCAGCAACGCAAACACATCATCTTCCCGAAATCTTAATTTTTTCTATTGAAATTACAAACAGACACTCCAATTTTATTATATGTATAGATTTTCTATAACGAAACGTCCCAACTCGTTTCAGTTTAATATCAACGGCTGACACGATATCAGTTAGTTTGATTGTACTGTCGCAGTTCTTGGCCGATTCCCAAATCTCTCTTTTGTTAAGATATCTAACATCACTCTTCATTAACTTGAAAAATTGTTATGGAAACGAAAGCAGCCTTATTTTCTAACTCAATCTGCCATTTCGGTACAAAATTTTCATCCACGTTGTTTCTTTGTTGTGAAAAATGTTATTTAATTTCGAGCAATTATTACACGCGCTCTACGAAATTACTCCAAGGAATTGGACCTCGTGTTGGTTTTATTTCAGAGAAAACGGTTCTTTTTTCTACAATGAAAGGTTTATGTCGTAAAATAGGAATCCCGCTGTTACCGTAATCTTTTTATTCTATTATGCAAATTGTTATGAAAGGAATAATTCTAATACACATTTCAGTTGTCGACATTTCAATTGGCAGCCTGTTACAATTGAAGAATGAGAATTATTTGGAGAATTTTTCCCTAATATTGGGATAAAAAGGACGAGAAGAAACTTCTGTATTATGTTTACGATTTGTCAAGATTATTAAATTTTAAGTAGTTTTTAAATAAATCTAACATTTCCTCATATTTCCTTTTTCTTTAAAATGGGTGTGGCATGACATGTGTCTCTTATTAAGTCTACGAAGTGACGGATGTCCATAACAACGTGTCGCCAGGTGTATCAACAGCGACATTCTCAACTGAGGTTCCCTTAGAGCGAGAGTCGCGTGCACGTCCTCAGTTATTTGTACATTTGCCTTATTACGCCTGGTGATTTATACTTCAACCCGGTGCGTTTAACTGCTGAGGCCTGTCATTTCCTCGCCTTAAATTGAGATTGATCCACACAGAGGCGCGGGCTATCCGCCATCGCGTGACGTGACGCGTGACACGCGCTTTGTTTTTCGTTTTGTTATAATTATGATTGTTCGACGTTTCGATAAGTGCACTAAGACAATAGTTATTAAAGTCCATTAGTGCCACCCCGTATAAGGACAACTTTTATTTTTGTTAGTATTAACAGCTTGATTATCTCTTTGTTCGCAGAGGGGCTCCGACGAGCTTCTTTCGCAGAGTGGCGTCACCGTCATGGCGCCCGCCGCTCCACACCATGCGGATAACAACAACCAAGATTCGGCCGCCAAAAAGGTATAATAACATTATTAATTTTATATGCTTGTAAGACTTTTAAGGTATAGCAAAAGATAAGCGTGGTTATGACGCAAGGGGATAGGGACATAAATATAAACCAAAAAGTTTTAAGACTGAATGTGGATGGATACAAAGAAGACCGAAAAAAGTATGGATGGATTGTGTGAAAAAGAATATGCTTACACATGTAAAACAAAAAATATGAAATTTCACCAATAGAGATTTTATATAAACTGCATGCATAAGAGCATACGTATTTGGTTTACCTTCGATCCTTCGACGCATTAAAATGTTCATACGTGGGTAGGTTTGCCGAGAAATTCAAAGTGAATTTTCCAGTGGTAGTATTGCATTTTCATATTTCGTAACTTAGAAATTTCATAAGTCGTTAATATAAATATATATATTAATATACATTTGTATATCTTTTCCACTGTTAAAATTATTAAGTTTGTTTGACAAAATTTGTAAATAAGTTTGTTTTAATTTTGATTCAACAAACTTCTAACTAATAATGATTACGGAAAAAGAAATTAATCAAGCAAATCTTGAAACTGACACAATTATTAAATAAAAGGGCCTTCGTGAAAACCCAACGTGGCATAAAGGACGTCCCTTGCGGGCTTTGAGAGGGAGTTTTTTTTTTTTCAATTTTCCTTCAACTCGACTGTATAGACACACACACATAGACACAGAATTCTTACATATACTTAATGAAAACTTTTTTCAAAAACGTTCATTGATCCGTACAAGTTAATTGTTTTTGTATATGTGTTTACAGTGAAAACACACTGTACATAATAATAACAATTAAAACGACTAAAGGCCTCAAAAGAAATGTGGTTGTTTTATGAGCACGTTATTACAATATCATAAGTAATTCAGTAAGACGTCGCAGACAGGTTGAAAGACTAAATACGTTGTAAAACGGTAACTTGTATACGGGTTTAATCTTTCTGGTATTCAGTTAGTAAACTTGGTAATTTTATATATAGCTTTGTAGTGTTTTATTAGAATTTGGAAGTTTCGAAATTTGAGTGTACAAATCTCTTTTACATTTGGAATTACTTAAGTTGTTAGTTTTTATTATTTGTAATACGTTTTACTAGTTATCTTAATGTCTCAGAGTAAGGCAAGTAATAAATGTTGAAAATTTCCTTATCCAACGAAGCGTGTGACTTATTTCACTTGCCTTGTTTTCCTTTTTAATGTCAGAGGAAATCAAGTTCCCCGTGTTAGTTTTGCCGGCCATTTACTCTCACTTGTTGGGGCGCTCTGAAAAACCTCGGTGCGGTAATCTTAATTATATTGTGATCTCGTTACAGCTCGGCCTTAATTCATAATTAAATAGAGACGTGCCCTTACGTTGCTTATTTATTTGCCATGGGTTTTATAGCTCTGCGATTGCGTGGACTTTTTTCGTTGCAAAAATTTAAACTGCTTTTTCGCGACACCCCTTCTCCTTTGTCGTCCTGAATATTCATTTAGAATCCATCAGCGGAATGACGACTCGTTTTTAAGAGTTTTTTTTTATTTTCTTGTATTATTTGAGGGACACCTCGTGCTAGCGAAATATTAAAATATAACTTCACTGGTCTTTTTATTCTTACAAAAATATTTCGTAAAGGAGACAATAAAACGTAAACTCTTTGGAATTTCGTAGCCACTATACGAATAAGCTTTTATATTTTTCATGTAATTATTGTAAGTGGGATCTCCCCAATTCACGGTTACTAAATAACATCGCAAGAATATCTCCGAAAACACACTAATAAAGCTCCGTCCTCTTTGACTGGGTCATTAATGTCCAAATAAAGTAATTAATTATGTTCCATGCTTTTTCCTTCATTTTCCTGACGTCGGTCTGTAAAAACGTAGAAAGCTGTGTACCGTGAAGATCAATCAAATCAGCGAATGTTTCCGGAGACCCTTGCGTTTAGCGCTACTTAAGCATTTACGAGTTTGTCTAATGAAATTGGGACTCGGTTCCTACTCGCCCCGTGTTGTCTTATGTTTGTCCGGAATTATGTATTGAGTGTGTTCGTGTATGATAACTAATTTTATCATCCTTTAACAACATTTTAATGGGGCAAACGATGCTCTATGATGTTTGAAATGGACTATGAAATCGCCATTTATTACAACAAATTGAATTTCACTACTTGTTTACCTTATATCTCGATTGGTGTTAATGCGAATACCTTCAATGTTTAAAGTAGATTTCGCCAATGAAACAAATTGGAGCTTACTCAGAAGTTTTTTCAAAACAATCGAATGTTGAAATAACAGGTTTTTAGGTTATGTGTTGCCATGCATTAATCTTATTTATAAGGTTTTTCTTACTACTTCTAAAAGTCTCAATGTAGAACCGATAATGAAAAATAAAAATGATTTTATTAACAATATCCCGCCGCCCGCCAATTAAAAGTTCCGGCGGATCTAGCTACAGCGATTTCTGGTGTACCTAATAATAGTCTTGAAATTTTAACAGCCTTAGTAACTTTTAACGTTTGCCTCAAGTTACGAGCTTAATGAGCTTAAAATAGTAAATATAAAGATGTGAATGTAAATAAATGGACTTTTACAGAAACCACTGTAAACAAAATCTTACCTGAAAACCTGAGTTATGGAAAATTCACAGATAGAAGGGAAAATGTATTATCCACATAGATTTGTAACTTCCCCTGGTAATCAGAGATTGTTGATACGAAAAGAAACAATAATCATTCTTTAGTCTCACCAAACCTACCCAGATCTCTGTTCTGGAAGACCTCGCTCCTTCGATCTCCGTACAACTACACAAATGAGCTATCAATTTCAGGAGGTCTCTTGTTGATTATTAAAAGTCTCCGTAGATAATAATTGTTTTCACGCTTATCTTCTATTTTGTGTTTAACTTGTATTCAGCTAGCCTAATCAGCTCTTTGCTCATATTAAAAAAGGCATGTAGAAGTGATCACAAACTTATTCAACAATAGTTCAATTTAAAGTTAATTAAATACGAAACTAGCTTTATTTTAACATACTTTAAAAGCAATCTGTTACCTATCACTTACATTATAAAATGTAAACTGTTGCCGCTTGATCCAGCAAACGCTAAGCTTTCTTTAATCGCACTCAATCTATGAGCTCTCGTCAAACTTTCCTAAAGTTCCTCCACTAGCGAACTCCGCTCTAAATCACAATTATTGCGGAGGTAGTCGATGTTGAAAGACTTTATCTTATAACTTACGAACTGTTTTGTTTTGTGTAGCGTCCACTTAATGTTAACAATTTATTAACCTATACTTATAAAATTTTCTATCGCTTATATTTTTTCCACCTTTGTTTGTACGGCCATTAATTGTAGATGTATAATTTTTGTTTTTGTCTCACATAAATTCTAACTAAAACACATCTGCAATGTTTTTAAATTGTGTGTCAAATACATTATATTTATTTCTGGTATATCATCTAAATACATATCTCTTATTAATATATATCTAATATAATATTTTCTAAATGTATCCCGAGGCGCTTTATAAAGTTCGTTTGCTTGGAGGCTCGGACGGACTGACCTTTAGACTGCCACAAGGAGCTTAAGTCATCCTTACTTCTCTTTGCAAAGTACCGGTCATGTTTTACTTGAAGTATCTGTTTCTTATACGAAATACCATATAATGCCGTCTTTTGATATTCCCTTGTTAATATTTATAATACAAAACGTTATGTAAATTAAATGTATGCAAAAATAAATTAACCATTCCGGCTTTTAGTGACATAAAAACACCGTGGCATTGACATAGAAGCACGGGGGCGACGAACTGACAAATAGTATTTCAATAAACACAAGCTGCGCGATCATCAGGAAAATTGACCGATTCCGGGAAATCCTCGAAGGAAAATGTCTTCACAATATCTCTTTTTTTCTATTCCAGCAGCCAAGCCAAAATTTAATATTTATGGATGAAATGTGAGACGAAGCGAATGATTTAAAGTGTCTGATGTGGAAAACGTTCTCGCAGATTTTCTGACCCAACGAAAGTAACGTCCTTCTTCACGTTTTACGTACCACTTGTTTTTCTTCGCGAGAAGAGAAAATATCGCCGCGGACCCTAAAGGTGGGCGAACCTGTTCCGCGATTTATTTCTCCCTTTCGCAAGTCTGGAAAAATTGTTTGTTTTCTTACGGAGATTTGCCTCTTTTGATGTTGATTGTACGACATTCCTATTATCGAAATAGACTTCCTTGGTTATGTTATTTTACTTACAATTTTCTTCATACAATATTATTTTACGGTGTAATAATATTTTTGGTTAGATCTATTTTAGATTAATGTTATAATATAGTAAAAAAAATCTATTATCTATTAAATTAAATGAAAAAATCTATTGAAAGGTGAAAGATGTCACAAAAACATTCGATAAAACAACTTACTTAAAGTAATAAGTACAATATTCGTAACTTATCACAGGATTGTACTTAACATCAATTGAAAAACTCCCCGCGCTCGCTCTTTTCACCTCAATAGAAAGTGAAGTGTCATATAAAGCTACATTATATTCGGGGCTACGGTTCGGGCCAGTGGCGTAATCAAAAGGCTCTCCGGGGAACAATGGCGCCCACATCGGGCCCGGCCCGATAAGCCTCGACAATTATACTACATCGACTTTTCAATTATCCAACCGGCTCTTCCCCGCGAACAATAACTAGCTTTATTTATGTATATTAGAGCGGTCATTTTGTTCGCCGTTTAGACTCACATTCCACGTTATTTTGTACAAACAATACACGCACTGCCTTTGACATTTCTACACCATTAACGTTTATGTGACGAAATGTATGGAACAGGGGACCGTTCGTTCGTTCTTTTTACAGTTTTTGTCTTAGAATTAGGTTTTTAAGATAAAATTATTTGTTTCTTTTATCTATTTAATTTGGACAATAAAATTAAGCATAATATGACGAAAACATGTTTATATTTGTTTAAGCATTGATGGATTCTATAAATTATTCGTTTACTAGATACATGGCAATTAGTTTCATTATAATTTTAAAGAAAATATTTAAAATACATATTAAAATGTATTACTATCCGTAAGATAAAATAGTTTAATAAACACAAATTAAAGATGACCACTGAAAGTAAAGAAATAAAACGATTTAAGAAAATGAGATTCGGAAGGAATAGTCCAGCATACAGAATAGCATAAGGCGTTATAAATACAATTTGGCGGATGTCGCAAGATGACGGATTGTTTCTTCCGGACCCCCTTGATTGATGTTGCAAAAGATTGACGTAAAATATATACGTTTGTTTCTTATACAATTTTATTTAATAGCAGATTATTTTTTACCATGCAAGGGTAGAAGAAACACGTATTGCATTCTAATTAGGAATCTGCTTAAAAAGAACTTATCTTTGTAGTAATTTGTGTTAAATGACTTCTGATGGTAATATATTTATAACAGAAACCGTATAGTACAACATATTGGTTATAGCAACCAAAACAGTCAAGTCAGGATGAACCCCGCAATCTTAACTATACAATTTTGTCTGTCTTGTCAGAACAAGTTTGGATTGTATTGCAGGTATTTAAATGTCCCATAATGTGTTCCTAAGAATGTCTGATTTATGTTTGTAATTTGTTGCAGGTGAAACTGGAGCAGAATGTGGGCAAGCCGTCGCGCGTCATCCACATCCGGAACATACCAAACGAGACCACCGAGGCGGAGATCATACAGCTGGGTCTTCCTTTCGGCCGCGTCACTAACGTCCTCGTCCTTAAAGGCAAAAATCAGGTAAGTTTGGAAAATTTATTTACATCAAGCAATCTAAAACTGCACGACAAAGGAAAGCCCCGTCAATTTTATGTGCCACGACATTTTTCATTTATTAAAAATATATACTTGTAATTGTACTTCATACTGATATAATAAATGTGTAGTTTAGATGCAGAGATGGGTAAATGGATGTTTGTTGGAGTTTGTGGCCTAAACGCCTGTACGGATCTGAATGAAATTTGGGTTAGATATAGAACACAGTCTGCAAGAACACATAGGCAACTCAGTTTTTTTTTTTTTAATTCCACGCGGACACAGTCGCTGGCAAAAGTTAATATTAATATATTTGTCAACAAAGATGCCTTTGTAATGGCCTAAAATACTTCTTGAGCGTATAGTATAAAATATTGTTTATAGAAACGTTACCTGGAGTAATAGATCTAATTGTTTAGAATTCACCGGAACACAGGTGTATTTGAAAGCTATAACAAAACATGATAAAGCACTAAAGTTGGTAGCGAACGCTCGCCGACACACGTTAAAGTTACATTAAAATGTAATCTGCACTTGCTCGTGCTATTTATTAATATTAAAAATACAAATCTATACTATTATAATAAAGCGTAAACACACACTTTTTTGTTGCCTAAGATGTCAGCAATTACAACATATTTTAGAATAATTCTTTTTTTAATAAAAAGCCCTACACTCGCGTCACGCTTTAGGCTATATACTTTCACGCCATTAAACTTTGGAGGTAAATATTTTGGATAAAAACCCTAATGTGGAAAATAGACCATAAGTTGGTGCCAGCATCAAGGAAGCAAAGTTGTCATACTTTGTCATCACGTCATGTAATTTTGATATTTGCAATTGATAATTTGACACGTGTATACAATAAAATAAAATTTTCATAATTTTATGCGGATGAAGTCGCATGGGAACAGCTAGTATAACTATAAACTGAAATCATAACTTTTGATCTCATATTACCATCCATCCAACGTATTAACACGATGTTAGTAAACATTCCTTGCTTGTTTTAGTCAACGTTAATTTAGACTTATCTTATGTAAATTGTCATATACGTGGTATTTTCGCAGATTTAATTGACCTAAATTGATGTTGACGGTTTTTTTTTATTTATTTATTTATATTAAACAGAAAGAGCAAACCACTTCCCAAACAAACGAATTTTTAATCCATTATACCCAAATAAAGCACTCGTTTAAAATTTCCGGCACTCGAAATAGTTTCGCTTATCGTTTTCCACTTCATTGTTACGAATTTTAACAATATACATGTGCGTTCAACAATATTTAAATTCCAATTACATTTCATATGAATTTAATTAATGTAATAATTTTCTGTATTTGATTGGGCATAGGAAATATTTATAGGTTTTGTAAATTACGATTACACTAAAAAAAACAGTCTTGATATGTTTCCCCGATAACAAAATATGTTTCATAGTGATTTTTCTTAAAAAAAATACTACAATGACATATTGTTTAGAATAATGTTACTAATTCTAATTTACTCGATTAGTTTGAATTATTTTAAGCTACCAATCATTTTCTCTATAGTTCAGTATTAACATTATTTATAGTCACACAAAAAAATGTCCTCATTTAGCAAGCTAACCATGTAATAAAAGTTGGTCACAATAGTCGGTACTCGTGCCGGAAGGACAACAAGTGACCAGTGTCCACAAGTAGGCTGAATTGTGCCACGAGTCACCAGGGTGTCTGTTCTTTCCGTTTTATATTACCTTTACCGCTCACAATAGCCTTGTGAAAAAAGTAAAACTTTTGTAACACACTTATCATATACTCGTAAGTTCTCACGTATTTATTTTCAAAATGCAAACAAATTATGCAAATATTAAAATTGGAAATTTATTCAAACGGCACATAAATAGTCATCGTTAAGAAATTAACCCAGACATGAGATTTCATCGAAAATTACATTTGGCGGAAATCAAGGGTGCGACGACGTCGAAAATAATTTTCAATTTAGGTCGAGGAGGCCTCTGCGGTAGTACATAGATGGGTTCGCAACATCAACAGAAACTCGATAAGCGTACACATGTTTGATATTTTTATTACACAAATATTACAAATCTACACTTCAGTATATTAATATTTACATCCTTAAATATTTATAAGATACAAGAATCGAAGTGTCTCTACTCGCCTTAGTAACTCATATGTAAATAAAATGCAGTACAATGCTGTACATAAAGCAACAAAAAGAGTTAAGTAGTGATTGAGTCTTGTCGACCGAAGTTTAAAGTTAAAACTTTATTTGAATGGTTATTTGTGAGATCCTTGTGTGTCGCGTAGTGTGCCGAGCGCGAGAACGGACATGGTATAAAGCGAGACATCCGGCCGCGGCGGTTTACTGCGCGTTTTACGTCGCCGAGGACGAGGCAGCACGTGCATTGCGGAATTTACGAGTCCTGGCTGACAAATTAAAAATGAGTTAGTTTACAGCCGGGGAATAAAATAATAAAAAAGAAAATCTTATTACGGGAAGCAGTCGAGACGGATGCCGCGACAATGTTATCCCGTCTAATAAATAGCCAGTATGACATCCAGCCCCGTATATAACTCGTCGTGAAGGAAAACAATCTCTCTTCCAGTAAGAGAAACAAGTCGAATCCCTTTTTATGAACGGTCACAGTTCCTCGCTCGCTTTTTTGTTATGAAATTTTCCGAGTCTTTTCATTCGCGCGCTAAAGATGCAATCCGCTGAAAGGCGGCGAAGCATTTCCCTGCTCCGGTTGAATTTATATTGCTGTCATATATACTTAAACATTTTGTGCAAAAAATTTAATAACGGATTCGACGTCCATTAACAATATAAAGGATGCAATCACTTTTCGTTAACTGGTTCCCATTTTACGTATAATTAATTAACGCACAACTAACACTTCAGCGTATACGTGCTATATATGTATATACATATGCAGAAGTGCTAGCGGCCCTTTGATGGTCCTCGTCAAGATGATGAAAGTATTTGATGGTAACCAAAGCTCCGAGAGTCCAGTTACAAAGGCGCCATCTGTCGAGAGATGGGCAAACACTGATGTGAGTGGGTGCGGACAATCGCTCCACTCTCGGTGATTAAAACGAAAGAGGCATTGACACTATATTACGATCGACACTCGCGTCACATCGACGCTTCCATTAATTTGTGCACAGCCTCGGCCTGGATAGTGTTTCGGTTGATGACCGAAACGATATCTATAGCAATTTTTATTGTATAAATGTTTAAATTTTTCTTAAAAATAAATATTATTTTATAACGACATTAAAAGCCAACGAGAACTAACACACATGCTTCAACAGCAACAGTGATCGCGGTTTGCGGTAAAGGTGGACCAATCTGTTTAAATTACTGGTTCTATTTGCTTTTTGTTACCAGGTATTTGTTTTTTAATTAGCACCAGACAAATTCTATTTAATTTGCGGCATGCTACAACGCTCCGGCGAGTGTATTTTGTACGTTGGTCGGGCATGTTCAAATGCCAAAAGCAGAAAGCTGTGGTCGTGTGCGGCGTACACATGAAATAGGACACGGCTATGCTAAATGTTTCCTCTAAAATCGGTAAAATCATATAGCATTTAGAAATTGATGGAGGCTAGGTAGTTTGAGAGCTTTGGGCCAGTCGAAGCCGATTAAATTTGCTCCATTATAACGGAAACGCGAAAACATTGTTGCACTCAGCCCGCACGGGTTTGTAGTTCCATCATTGACAGGCTTACTGTGTGCTTCCTCGTCTGAATTATCATTTCAAAATTGTTTCTATTTACTACTCGATATTTGAGATTAACGTTTCAACAGAATTTCAAAATATCGTATTTGGACTTTAATAGTATTTTGTACTAAACATTAATTTTGCTAACATAATTGTAAAATCTTAAAACGTTGTTGAAGTTAGTTTAAGCAATAGTGTAAAACAACAGCAGTAAATTGTAGAAAAGTATAGGATGTGGAGGATGTCCTGTCAATTAACTGGAACCGTACCATCCGTCGTCGGTGCGAATAAAATAAATGGGTACGACAAACTTGTAGCGAGAGCGAGACCTCTCGACGCGTCATCTTTCATTCCCATATATTTTACTCGCGAGTCTGGTATTCGATTAGATTAGACGATAGTTGTCGCACCGTACCCACTTCGTACTCAATTTATTCCTCTCCTTTGTATTCAATACTTAAATATGTGTTCTTGTATTTCTTGCTGTATACCTTCTTTCATTACGAAATTTACGATCTCTGTTCACGTGTAGATTTGAATAAATCTTTCATTTTTGTTACGTACGTAGACATATTCAATACCATTTAAATATCGTATGAAATTCATGGCAGTAAATCTACTAAATAACTAAATAAATGAGAAATATAATTATGTATTTTTTTATAAATTGTTTCAGGCATTCCTAGAGATGGCAGAGGAGATTTCTGCTGTGGCGATGGTGGCTTACTTCGGTGGTTGCGTGGCGCAGCTCCGCGGGCGCGCAGTCTACGTCCAGTTCTCGAATCACAAGGAACTAAAGACCGACCAAACGCATAGCAACGCTGTAAGTGTCATAGAATATCGACATCAACAACTTTCTTTCTCGATTTTTCTATTGCTTTACCGATTGAGATGGCTTTTAACGGATTTTTTCAGTTTTTAGTAAGGACTGGTTTTCAATTTTACTTTATCGTTTTTCTGCTACTTCGTGACTATATCCGTATAATCTAATTTCCATTTACATCAAGTAAGTTGAGAACACCATTTATACATGTTAGTGATAAGCGAGTGCTCATAGTAAGTTTAGTACGAATAACTTCGTGTCGATTTACTTGAAATTCTGGTAATGCATAGACTGTTTTCTAAATTTGTAACCTTTTAATACTATGCCACATGATTGTACTTCACGTATTAAGTCAGGAAAAAGCGCAAATAAAGCTTTTAAAGTGGCAATTACATAAAATAATATGAAATCGTTAAAACATCGATAACAGTGTATTAAATATTTTTCCACCGCGTCTGCCCCTACCGCTGGCTTATGTAAAAATGAATGTATATTCAATTTTAACGAGGTTATGTATGAATACAAATCTCTCGTATTCACCGGTTTTTACGGTAAAAGGCCTAAAATGTACAGCGTTATTATTCTTTTATATTCAGTGAAAAAGTTCGATTCGGATCGCTGGGAGCGTACACTCGGAACAATAATGAAACGATTGTTCAATTAGCACATTACATCAACGAATGAATTGTTGGCCGTCGCATCGCCTCGCCCTCGCAAGGGACATTGAGGCTCCCATAATGCTTCCTATTTTCAACCCTTAAATATTTTTTTATTATTATTTATTCAACCGCACATAAAAGCTCTAATTTGTTATTTAGCTGTACAAACACCTGCTTAAAATTTTCGTTGTATAATAATGCACGGAAAATAAATGCTTACTACACCAATAGTATTTCTGTGGTACTCAATAAAAAAAAAACATTTTTTAAACTACTTTAAGAGCCCGTCCCACCAAATTGTAAATTGTCTAATAACAATCCAACGTGTAAAATCTGTTATAGAAGTATCGGATTTCATTCCCTTATCCGACAGTGGCGACATTTTTAAGCTATCTAAGCCTCTATCAGCCAGTGGTGGGACAAGCCCTAAATTTAACTAATCCATAGAGATACTGTTAATCTTATCTTTTCCCATTTTTAGTTTTCATTGCTTAAGGCATAATTTCATCTTCACTTACTCACAGGAAAACTTTTAATTGGATATAGAATATTGCTTGTGGTCGAAAACAAATAATATTTGTAATTAATAGTGATAAAGCATAATAAATGAAGCTTTTCATGTTACTGGACGGCAAGGAATAAATACCCGAAAGAGAACACCGAAACCATAGTAATCGAGATCCTTAATTAAGCAATATCTAAAAGTGAAATTATTAAATTTCATTACGAGTACAATAAAAAAGATTTACTGTAGAGACATATTAATGTAACGATATTAAGCATAAAAGTGTTATTAATTTTATAGTATATTTAATTATTTTTAATTCCTTTTGATTTATGAAATCTTAACATAACAACTGATAAGGACGTGAACAAACACAAAGATGTTAATCAGCTCGCAAACCACATTAAAGGGAATATTCTCCACCTTAAAATTGACAATTTCTCCACATATATCGCGCTCTTGTCTACTAATCAATGTTATAATAGTTGTTTGATCTAATTGTCAACAATACAAACAACATTGGCGTAAACACAATAGCTAATTAATGTAATGATTAAACTCAAAACGGGCGGCGTTTGGTGTCTATTATCTGTCTATTTGTGTTTTGTTTGTACAATGGAAGGACTCCGATCCCGATATCTTCGATTCCAATTATTTCATAAACGAAAGAAGTACGCATGAAGTTGTAAAAACTTTATTTTGGTTTGCGTTTGTCAAATTCTCAATTTTTAAGTGTCAATTAGTGTTACCATAATAACCTTGCTTCCTTAATATTGGCAGCTTAAAGTTGTGGTCTCTTTCCCACATGAAGGTTTTTTCCAATTTATTTACTCCCTAAGTTTAATAGCATGAAAATATTAGTATAGATATAAAATTTTAGTGTAGTACTGCATTTGATTGTATCATTTTTTATAGAAATTTTATTTAGAAACTAAGTATCAACAAAAAAAAGTAGATAAAAATTCATTTCGTTTGATGCGAAAACTCAAATATTCATAAAATGTCTTTATTCTGTCTAAACTCGGATACATATTTTGACGTCTGCCGTCACCCTCACTTCCTGCGCGTTTAGCGATCCTTCATAATGATGTGACTGTTTGCTTGTTGACAATATCTAACAGATATTATTTATTTAATTTTAACATTTTGTATTAAATGGTAGACTGAATATTTACAAAATGGATTTTATCTATACCTTTTATACGGCTAATTTTATTTTCATCATCACCATCTCACTATACGTCCCTACCGAGGCGTCGGAGCCCCTAATACGGGGTGACTAGGCCATAGTCAACCACGCTGGCCAAGTGCGGGTTGGTTGACTTCACACATATCTTTGAATTTCTTCGCCGATATGTGCATGTTGCATCACGATGTTTTCCTTCACCGTAAGAACGTCGGGTAAATTATGTACATATGAAAATGCGAAAAATCGAAAATCACATTGGTACATGGCGGGATTCGAACCCAAGACCTGTAGATTACAAGTCAAGTGTTCAAAGCGCTGAGCCACCGACGCTCTTTTTATTTTACTAGTGTTTATTTCTAATTTGCTTAAAACGATATACGTTATCTTATTAAATTCGACGATCACAAGCGAAAAGTTAACATTAAAGAGAATAGAGACAATAACTTTATACGTAATGGTAATTTGTAGAGACGATTCCAGATCATTTCTTGTGTTGCTCGTTGTTAAAACTTATAATGAGGGATTTGCGAGAATAAACAGGGATCGTTATCGTCACATGTTCTCGACTTGATGTCTCTTTAGCGTTTATTTTATATTTTTTATTTATTAAAAACAATCCAACACATGCTTAGTAACACTAAAAATGTGATTGCTTTAAAACTACTGTAATCAATTCAATTCAAATAAATATCTGAGTTATAATATGTCGAATGTACCTTTATTTTTGTGTTTGTAAGAGTTTGTAATATACTACTTTAAAATGTAACATTATGAATTTGTCAGAGTCTATTGAGGACCGATGCATTTTAAAGAACGTATTCTGAAAGCGGGGCTTTGATCAATCATGCGACGAAAAAGGTTTTTGTGGTCGGTGAATGGAACTTTCGAATGGCGGATGGAGTTATTTTGTCGCGTCGACGTCGCCGTCGCCAGAACGTCTGCCAGTGGTCGCGGTGAAAGATTGCACGTCCCGCGAATAGGACCTTTTAAATAACTCCCAGAGTTCGCCGGGGAGCGGGCTACTTAGCTTCGGTGACTTGGAAATATTTTAGAAATCACAGCGAACGACTTTACTGTGTTATAGAAGAGTTTTCGTTCCATGTAAATATGGAAAGACCAGATTTAGGTTTTGATTTTTAGTAAAATAACAAAGATTTTTTTTAATACTTGTTTATAGCAACAGTTGTCCTAATAGCATATTTACTATATACATTTCCAATATTTCGGACTGAATTACAAAAAAAAAACAAATCCCAGCAAAACAACCATTGTAATAGGTATGTCACATAACTTTACAACATCTTCTAATAATACAAACATCACGTAAAATGGACCAAAACATTTATGTAAGACTACACTAAATTGTTCCGTAAAGTCTTAGCCGATATTAAACAATCCTTTTAAAGCTTTACAAAGTCCGGCGACTTTACAATTCAACTGCTAATAAGTCACATACAAGTTGAAAAAACAACCTAAAAGAAGAACGAGGAAGGCGAGGGCAAGTCGGGGCGAATTTGTAGCGGGGCCTTTGCCGTCGACGGCAGCGGGCTTACCGTGACACGGTTAAAGCCTTATTTTTGTGTCTGGCCTGCGCGCTTGTCAAGCTCCCGTCGTACAAAGCCATGTGAAAATATAGGATCAAAGAGTGCCGCGACGTAACCCTTCTTCAACAGCATCCGTTTTACACGCGTGCCACAAACATTTTTTTGTTTTTTTTTTGGACGTGTTAAATATGCTGCAACGCTGCGAGTGTTCGGCCGCTTTGTATGTAGTTGATACGGCCCATGTCACTCAACTGCATTTTCATAACTTTAAAGGTAGCGTGTGTTGACACCGTATGTGAATTTGACACTCTTTGATATACAAAGCGATTTTTTTGAATGTGCATGGTCATTTTTGTATATTTTAAAGTATTAAAAAGGTCTCACTTTAAAAGTCAGGCTATATTTAATTCTTTGTGTAGAACAACGAGCTTATACGCTCGGAAAACGCAATGTACTCTAAACTCTAAACAATCATGCGTTGTTATCTCATAAATTTTATAATACACGTGTCCAATTTTTCAAAGTCTTCACAAAAGCGTTGTTTTGGCCCCATTCGTGTCTTCTCCCTATTTCTGTCGTAACAAAGTGCCGGAATCCCGGGCGATACAAAATAAGTTTAGGGGCCCCTTTGTCTGATGCGGTCAATGTTATCGCCGGGACACTCGGAGGTGGCTCACGCGTGCATGAGATAACTTTCTTTTGCCGTATTATGCACGCTCTATTGTTACACGACTTACGTGAGATTAGTGGACAGTATTTTTTCGTGACCGCAAATGTAAATACTCCAGGGAATGAAAACGTTGACCAAAGTAATACGTGATAAGCAATTGCTTAAAATTTACGATGATGTTTTACTACTAGCTATAAGGTTAGGTATACAATGAAGTAGACGGAGTAAGTTAATTGAAAATGCTATTGTTGCAGTCGGCATCCGCTCAAGCGGCGCTGCAGGCGGCACAAGTGATTTCCAACAGCGCGGGCGCTGCGCTCGTGGCCGGCGCCGGCGCCGCGCTGCAGCCCGCCAACGGGGGCACTGAAATACAGGTGAATCACATAAAGTATTTACACCCGCAACCCACAGGTAAAGACAAAGAGTGGCTTCTATTCACAGTATGGACTTGGCACATATCCCATTGCGTACCAACTACATTTACATGTCTACATTGTGCTTGTCGGTTACTTTATAATTTTAGTCTATATGGTTATTGCCACTACATATTTTTATTCATTCAATCATAACATGATATAAATAACAAACAGCAAAGGAAATTAGGCATAACGTAATTCGGTGTACAGTCAGAGGACATTCCTTCTATAGCGATAGAGTTAAAACGTTTAGAAATAACAATAACAACTAAGTGGACTTGTCTAGAAATAGCTTAACTAAGTAAAGTACTTTATATTAATAGGTGAGTCAAGGGAAAATCTACAATCTTTGCCTATCCCCTTGAGTCTTCCCTCACTACAGATACAGAAGATTTACCTTTAATATTCAAATCTTCTTTAAATATTACTCCTTACAATAACGTCTGAGTGCATTTAGCCACAATATACCCTGACTTACCAAAACTGTTTACCAGACCATCTAAAATATTACAAACTCGTACTACAAATCAGCTTTAGTATCCCCGGCGACCGAGCGGAGGAAGTAATATACGTAGATACGTACCTCCGGCCGACTAAAGTGACCGCAAACAACGCTTATTACCGACTGAGACTTAGGCCTGCACTAAACTGTTGCCCACTAAAGTTTATACTAATATTTATTGCTATCAAAGATAAATACTGAATTGATTACAGAAATACGTAAATAAATAAATCTATTTTTCAGTATTAGGACTGTTAAAACTCACAACTGCTTGAGTGTTGTCACTTCTTTTATTTCAATTTAAAAGTTCTTTGAATTTCCATTAAATTACGAGTACCTACTTTACGTTAAAGTATTAATTTAACGCTAATACTTATTACTCAATGTGATACTGAATCTCTTAGCAGCTGGTGTAATTACGGTGGAATATTAAATCGGCATCAAGATGCAATTTGCAAGATCTAAATAAGCTAAGAGCAGGGTCATGAGAGGTCAAATGTCGCTTAATTAACTAATACGTTAAGAATTAAATGTTATCTCTTAACTTATCACAAATTGAATTTATTCAATTAATAGAACAATCTCAAAGACATTTGTCATGAAAAAAATAACAACAGGGAAATGGTACTTGACGAAATTGTAGTCCAAAAATGTTGGTAATAATCTTTTGTGTACTAAGTTTGTATTTAAATTTTTTTCTTTCTGTTATTACTAATGTAATTATTTATTTATTATGTATCATCAGGGCGGGCCGAATACAGTGCTGCGCGTGATAATCGAGCATATGCTGTACCCAATAGTACTCGACGTGCTGTATTCCATCTTCCAGCGGTACGGGAAAGTGCTCAAAATCGTCACATTCACCAAAAACAGTGAGTACTTTACTTCTATATTTCATGTCACATTTATACTTGGTTATTCCAAGAAAATGTTGAGCATATGATTGGTATAGTTTAATTAATTTTATACACGGGGAAGAATGAAAAAAATCGTTAAGAAACGGAGAAATAAAAACTAAAGAACAATTCTATCAAGAGGTAGAATTCATTTTTGTACGATAAAACATTATGTGAAGATGTGATCGAAGGATGGTACGAGCTAGTAAAAAATTATTAACGTTGCGTTTTGTCTATTTTTAGATGATTTAACGGTAACAGTGATTAAAGAAAGTTATAAATTAAATGATAACCATGTTATAGTGATAGATTTAGCAAACACAGGGCGGAATCCAAGGGCGCAATCCGTTTAAAATTTAAATCGCACCCTCATGCATATCCTAAATAAATCCGGTGGCAGGCAGGTACGTAGGTACATATTTGATAAGCCACAGGGCGGCCGCACCGCACTTCCAGCTAATTATAAAGTTAGTTTAAAAACCTTAATCAAATCTACACATTTCCGAAGTAAGTAACGTTTTATATACAAGGCCCGCTCAATTCTTTTTACATATTAATGCGACCGAGTCCGCCGAAACACCTCCAAACAAAGTTTCCCGAGTAGAAAGTGAAGAGGAGCGCTCCGTTTACTGTCTCAATCGAACCCTTGTCAAACAACTGACATCGAATTTACAAAAATACTTATTTATTCAGAAGTAGACGCCTGTTTATATTTATTACGTGCAATTTACTCACCGGTGGGAATTTAATCTTCTGAAAACACACAAAGAACTCAAACTTATTTCTTTGTGAAAGCGAAACTAAAATATAAATCACATAAAATATTAAAACAGTGTTTTAGTAGACGAATGGCACATTTAACTTGCAGTTCAAATGTATCTTTGATTTCTTGATATGAAAACTTAATTAGCAGCACAGCGTTATGCAAATGAGCCGCTATAGGGGGCGCGAGCGTCGACGCCGGCTATCGCGCTACCTCCGCTAATGCAGCATTTCCAATTTCCGAACGTCGCGCCCCGACCCTTGCTCACTTTCCGAAACTGCTGTTTGCTTTTTTGCCGCATTCGTCATTGTCCAATTGTAAAAGCTTTTGTCTCTAACGGTCTGCCATTATTTACCGACTCTCCCCCTTTCGTTTTAAACTAACTAAACGCTACTTCACTTTGAAAGATTTCATCTTCTGAAACCTTTGTGTATTTCATGTTTATTATTTAGTTAAGCATGCGTTATTGAATGTTGGTATATTACCGACATATTTTTGAGTATGTTGTAAATTTGATCACGAATTTAAACATTACATTGTTAGAAACGTTTTCTCGTAAAATCCTTTTAATAGAATGCAAAGTAGAAGAACAAATTCTAAAACAAATATACATTGTAGGAAGTAGAGTTTGCTAAGGGTACCCTCGGCGAGTAAATATACACAACACGGAGCATACAAAGCTGCGGCGGTATCTGGCGCGGCACGGGCTAACGGCGCGGCGGCAGATCCCAGATCGGAAACGTATAAATCCCTACTTCAATTATCCTGTCTCGTGGGGAGCAAATAAACCACATATTTCGTTTCCAATTCACTTTCGATACTTCAGTACGCGGAATGAAGTTATCTGTCTAAAGTTAAGTAACATGTAATGGCTCGACTAGCACTCTTTACGAAGGCATTCTTTCTCCTTCAAATATTTACATGAAAATGTCTGTTAGCAATCGAGTAAGGCGTATCGCGTTTATTGTTATGCAAAAACCAAGATTACAGTATAATGTTTGAGCATATTCGGAAATATTTTGCCGATGTTTTACGACCACGGTAACATATTTACACGTCGATTATTTCTGTTGGGGAATTGGATCCTCTCAACCTTTATCAATCGTGATCGCAAATAAACGTACGGCTTTCGTGATTTATAAGATTCAATATTATTCCCTTTATTTACTTGTTTACATAATTTTCCATACCATAAAATATATTATAACTTGGACCACTTAGAATTTGTTATCGAATTTGAGTTCGTGTTGTGTCTCGTTGTGGTTTTCATGAGTTTCGGGGAGTTGAGCCGATGAATATTCCGGAGTTTTTATCATATTACGCTAATGAAAGCGACAAAGTTGCAAATTGTTCGGTTTATTCAAATGTAGCAATGAAAGAGCGCCGTTTAAGTCTATTGTTTGCGCGTCGCGTCTCGTTAGCACGTCGGGCGAGTCGTATAACGGAAGGTTACTATCATACGCGCTCGCAATACCGAAACAAATCTCAATGAACGGCGCGGAGTCGCTGTAATCCTACCCGTCGCTCCCCGCACCGCCTCTTACCCTCGCCCGATTGGCTTTATTAAGGTGTAGCAGACCGCTACAATTATTATGCGTCCCCTGTTTGTGGTAGATGTTGTGTCTATGTCGCTGTAGGATTTCCGTAATTAAGGATTTGATTCGTCCACTGGCATAATCTTACTCGGCCTGTTTATACCTAGGTTTATTACTGAATCATGTTCTTGTAACAATTTTGATTTGGGATCATAATAACATCCTATATCAGCTTTATACAAATAGAATTTCCTTTAATAATTTCCTAAAGAAGTAAGTAGGTTTAGTTAGATTTTCAAGTGAAGCCGTCCACGTAGCTAAGCTGGATGCGCAGGTAATGGGCGAACATCGGCGGCTGAAAGCGCGCGTAATTTGCCAGGAAGCATTCAAGTTCAGCAGAGCACGTTCAATGGAGACGAGACGGTGAGATTTAAGATATCACATTATGGTGTAATCTGAGTCCCGGTGGGGCCGCGGGGCCGCGGGGCCGCGGGGCCTCAGGGCTAAGGGGCGCAGGGACTCCCGCTGTAATTTACATAGCGGAAGCGACCTCTTGGCTGCCCACCAAAATGAGGATTAGAAAATTTTAATTTCCAAACCCCAATCCCTCAGCTCTTGTTTACGTATTGGTTTAAATATTTAATATGTTAATCTAGCCCGGTCTCTCCAACTTTCAATAAATTTAACTCGATTGATACAAATCATTTAAATGTCGCTTATGAATTCAAAGTAACTTTAATAATTTCGCTTATGCAAATATTGTAACCCAAACCTAATGTGTAATTGATTAGTTATTTAAACAACTAAAAAAGTGTTCAACACAGCTTACGTTTGACACAATTTAATCATAATTCAAAGAGAAATATGTATCCAATAATGGTCGCTGGAGTTTTTCCAATAATGTCAAAGTAAATAGTCCCACAAATAGTGTTTATTACGCGGTGCGGGACCCGTAAGGGCCGTGTGCAAGTGGACATTTAGCGGCAAAGTTATGCGGAAGGGTCGCAACCAAAACGTTATCCTGCCACTCACTACAATCAATAACGACATCGTATAAACTAGAATAACACCCTCATTGTATTACAAAAGTATAACCATAATCGGTGGATTGATTTTAATATTATTGCGAAACACCCATAGAAAATAATTAATTAACCGTTAATTAACATGTCCTTTATGGTTTGCAATTTATTTTACGCTTTAAATGTAAAAACTAGGGTTTTGATGGAACTCTCCTACCGCATCCGCAAGTGCGGAACTTACGCAAGAAATGATAACTCCGTATCCGATTCCGCTTTCGTTATTTATTATGCGGAGGTATAACGGAGGTTATATTCCTTTTTTAACGCCAGTGGGGCGATTAGGTATCGTTTATGCGTCCCGCACGGGCGAGATATGTCTAATAACTATAATCAATGTGTATTTTGAATTACAAAGTTTGAGTTTTTATTTATTTAATGAATCGCAATTAATATTTTATTATTGTCATCCGCTTCCGCTTCCCTTAACCTCCGCTTTTGCAGAGGTGAAGCCCTTCGCCTCCGCATCGCATCCGGTTCCGTTAAAATGGCCTCCGTTACAACCCTAGTAAAAACATGTTTGTTATTAAACGAACATAATTAATTTACCCCTTTTAAAAATCATCAACAAACATACTATGTTTAACACTACGATGGTTCGATACTCAGTAAAAATACAATAACTGTCGGACCGTTACGAAATAGGTAAGTTGTGAAAAATATGGGCCCCAAAGAGCATTTAAGTATGTATGAAGGAGACAGCGCGTTACTTTTAATTTAGCTAGACGTTCCTTACCTTGAGTGGATTGGGCACTTCTATATTTTATAAGACCGAGGAAATTGTTAAAGGAGAAGGAAAACAGCTAATAAGTACTTATATTCTCGGAGGCGCGCCGAGCTAATAGCGTCATATATTATTTAGTTGCGCTATATGTATAAATGTTACCTACTATATTTATGGGAGAAATAAAGTAATAGAACGAAACTTTATTAATAAATTTTCTTCTCTCATATTTACAAAGGTTTTTGCTAAAAAGACACTTCCTAAAGCTTCTAACTATATCATGTCCGATGAATGAAAAAATGTTACGTCCGGCTTTAACATGAAAAATAAAACGACACTGTCTAATGGTAGGTTATGTGGCTAACGCAGGTGTTGCCCGAACGTTGTTTCTCGTAGCTAAAAATGTGAATTTATTCGCTCACCCCACAGGCGGCAATGATCGCTGCGCTCACACCTAAATTAGGGTTCCACTCCCGAGCCTGCCGGTAAACAAACGACACTATAAATAACACTCTAGCCTTTTACTATTAACTGCTTTTTGAATTCATGATTCTCTATGAAAACTGTATGTTTTCAATAGAAAAGTTTACTAAGGTGATCGAGGTAAAATTTTTTTTAGTAATAATTTGAATTTTAAGTAACTATTCACGCTATAATTGTTATTGTGTCCTAATATGTTAAATCATACATTTATTATTGACATAAACACGCAAATATCATTAGTGAAGTTTATTTCAGTTTATTACAAAAATGAGTTACTTAATTATATTTTAATTGTGGCTATGAACTTGATACCTGAAAATAATTATTATAAATTTACTTGATGTATGAATAACTTTAATTAAACATAGAAGTACCAGTGACTTCTTTAAAAGACGAAACGAATATTATAATTAATTAAAGCGTATACAATTTTATTTTTTTAGTAAAACAAATTACGGGATAGGTTTATGCAAATATTCCAAAGCGGTGTACGTGATAAAATAGCTGCGGTGCACCTGAGGCGAGACTTCACTAAACTCTCGAGGACTTAGCGCGGAGCGTCGCACGTTGAACGCCAATTTCGTCTTGTTAGAGCGCGCTCGTAAACATGATATTAGTTGTCAACGAATCTCTAAAACATCTTCCTTTTAAATACCGTAAAACCCAACCACGTTTATGCGATATTGCGGAGAACATGACGTCTTCCTGTGTAGGTAGTAGGTTATTGAAGATAAAATTAATTTTAACCCTGTTTCTTTGCGTTTAAAAAGTTACTTCATTTCCGGTTTTCTTGGTAATTCACCTGTAATTATAGTATTGTCCAGAGAATAAGAAATAAATTTTATAAGATTTATTGAGATTGATTACGTAAGACTGCATACGATTGTGTTGACAAACTATTAGAACCAATTATACCAGTAATTTTGTAAAGTTAGGCACTGGAAACTAACTTTTATGTCATAAAAATAAGCATCAGGTGGGCTAAAAGAAGTTATTTTGTTCCCAGATTCGTTTCAAGCGCTCATCCAGTATCCCGATACGGTGTCGGCGCAGACGGCCAAGACGGTGAGTACAAACAACTTTTGTTTTTATTTAAAAGTTTGTAAAGTTAAGCCATAAAACAAAGTTCTTATCGCAGCACGTTTCATTCACCTTAATGACACACTTTAGAACTATCTCTCGACGACCAATGACTAAGTTTTCACACTTCATCAGTTCTCTTATTGGATAACAGTATCACAATGAGAATGAAATTTATTACATCTAATTAGTTTATATGACCCATTACTTCCCCATTATAAATTACTAGCATTCGCCCGCGACTCCGTTTGCGTAGAATTTAAAAAAACAAAAGCGAGTAGTCTATGTGTTCTTCCAGACTATGCTCTACCTCTATGCCAAGTGGTGATCCGTTCAGGAGTTTAGGCTATAAACTCTAACAAACATCAATCTATCCAACTAAACTTTTGCATTTGAAATATTAGTAAGATTATTTTTTTCTTTTTGATTCATTTACGGCTATCATGGCCTCAAACAGAGTATATTGTTGTTATTTAAAAATGTGTCACAAACTTGTTTAACTTGTAATAAAAGCATAAAAGCCGTACCTCGCAGTACATAAATCTAAGAACACAATGCACGTCAGAAGCGAAGTGCTAACAAACACGCGAGGTTTACGTGCATTTAATAACAATAATATCGGCAAACAACAGCCGCTGTAAGTCGACAATGGCCCGCCCCGAACTCGCCGAGTGGGACATCATTTTTCTCGGCCCAACTTTTCCCATTCGCTATTCATTTGCGTTAGAAGTTGGACGTACTCCCTCCTACTGCAGCGACTGTTTTAACTTTATTTCTGATGCAATGTTCAGGCCAAATTAAATTTTGTTTTGCGGCTTCTGTAAACTTTGATTCCCGCCCGTAATATAGTGTTTGTTTTTTATCAATGAGCCATAAACGTGTCATTAATTTGAAACGTTAATAAGACTTTAAAAAAATCAAAGAGTATTTGTATTTGACAATTACGGTTGGAAGAAATAGAAAAGCTACAAGTATCTAAAGTTTAAAATGATTAACTTAGTAAATACGACAGAGGCGACTCTGTAATCCAAAATCCAAAATAAGTCACTGTTCATGATAAAAACATCACATAATACGGTGAACATTTTATGATAGTACTTAGAAATCAATAAGTAATTAACGATGGGGACATAAACCACAAAGTGTTCAGATTGAATGTGGATGGCTACAAAGGTAGAGAAAGACCGAAGAAAGTATGGGTGGATTGTGTGAAAGAGGATATGCTTAAAAAAGGAGTGGATTCAGATATAACGACTGATAGAGATGTATGGAAGAGCAGCACATACTGTGCCGAACCTCCGTAAGGGGTAAGGGCAAGTGGATGATGACTCAATGAAATCAGTAAACTGTAATAAACAATTTACTAGCATTGCCAATTAGACAGACGACTTCAGTTTCCTAAGAGCAATTAACAGAGTGTAAAACTGTGGTCAGATTACTCGTCTGACAAATTAATACGTTCTAACGGGGAAACCTTTCGTGAAATTGAGATATCACCGGGAAAGCGGAGTGGTGAAAACTTAGTAACGCTAAGTCGCATCTAGTGGATAGGCACGATTCGAATTGTACGTAATACTCGGAACTACCGCTACTGTTCAACATTATTACTGTATCTGGCTTCATTTTCAGATGCGCTTAGCGCTGATATAAAACTGAGTACTTGTATGATTATTGAAATGTTTTCTTTATTTAAACTTTTCATGCTTGGACAACATGAAAGTTATAGAAGAAATTAAGAACATGGATAATACAGATGTCATTTACATATATTATAGGTTAATATTTATTTCTTCTCATTGACAATTCGACATTCGTGTACTGTTGTTTAAATATTGATGTGTAAATAACTTGGTCAGTCAGTTACGCTGTTAATTTAAAAGACCTGCAGTCAGTCAATCGTTTTATTAATGTTTAATGTCAATTGCAATTTTAACTTTAATTTTAAATTCGTTCTTCAACAGAGTTTAATTCTTGTAATTATATGATAAATATAAATATTTATACGATATTAAAACTGATCTTATCAAACTTTTTGAAGCTGTGCAGCAATTCTACGAAATTTGCTACTCTCGTTTCAAGATTAGATCTATTTTACGTTTAACTTTTTTTTTATAACGTAAGGTGGCAAACGAGCAAGCGGCCACTTGAATCCGCCAAAATGGCGAAGCGACCGCTGCCCATAGACATCCGCAATTGCAGATGCGTTGCCTACCCTTATACGACGGAGGAGGAGACGCACATAAAGATGATATTTCCCCTTCCTATGCATCTCCTCCACCGTCAAATCCACTTCCCCTTCCCATCCTCTCCTTATAAGAAAAGGGTGATAAAGAGAAAGGGACTTAAATTAGGCCTCCGCTATGTTCTATTTGCAAATACAAAAACGACAATATGCGCTTCATGTTGCGACGCAATGTAAGACTGAACACCAATTAACAGGGATCTAAATGAAAGACAAATTAGAGATCAAACTATCCAACTATAATCTCTGCTAGAATCAGTAGGTACATCTACCGTAAATGCTAAACTATATGCTATCGATTATGATTTTAAATATTTCATATGTATTACGTAGCATTTGAATATAATGTAACTGGCCACTAAGCGGCGAATCCAATTTCGTCGTCGTCCTAAAGCCGTCGTATCGGGCGCATCCGCTGAATACGCACGCGATATTCTGGCTTCGGCTTCGGTGTAACCGCGGATTTTTCTCAGGCTGTAATTGAAATGTCCCACAAGGTAAGTGGCAGGAGAAGTAAGAGGTACAAAGTGAAGTGAAGCCGGATAGTGCTTCAGTCACAAAGGGCACAGTCGGATGCTGGAGCGCTGAAATCCCCCGATCCCCGACTCTATGATCCTTGACATAAATCTCTAACCTCGCCATCAAATCTTTTCCGAGAGCGGCTTATGTGCCAGACACGAAATGTAAGCTCTTAATGTGCTCAATTCTTGTAAACCACATTGTACATTTACCCGCGATAATGTACTGCCCAAGTAAACAAGTAACACCACACATGATTCATGAACTAAGCCTGCAAAAAGGACTTTGTGTCTTTGCAGTGATCCGCTACACTTTCTTTAACACTGATGTATTTCTTAATACTCACGTAAGTAATCTTTTCTTGTCCCTTGATGTCAGTGCTATCTTTAGAGCAGTTAGTAAATTATTAATGACGTGTAATGAATTTATATAAATATTCTGCATTGAATATGAATGCGTTCCGTAATTCTAAGCATTGGTTATATTCAGTGAGTGGAGTGCGGTCGCCTTAATCATAGCTCGGTGAGGCGACGGCTCCATCAATAAGTTATGATTGATAACGGGCCGATTCATTCGTCGCCTCCCTTATGTTATACACGTATGTCCCTGTAACATAGGATAGACAAGTCCAGTGGTGAATGTTAATCATTACTCTAGTAGATTGCAATGATTGAAATTAAGAATTCCGGAAGTTTATCGAAATTAGTTTTGGAAAAATTTACACTTGATACAGAATAAAAATAAAGTAAATTAACTATATGTTGTATATCGCAATATATAACCGTTGAATATGAACATAAAAATATAAACCAACATAATAACTCCACTATTTATCAATAGCAAACTTTCTATTGTTTGCTAAAGAAAACTCGGCACTGATTGATTTAGCGAAATAAAATATTAAGCGAGCGCCTTACCCCAGTGCGACGCTACGCGACGCGGTTCAATATAGCGAAAGCCGAGGTTAAAGTTTATAGAGTCGAGGTGCGGGCTTTTGTTTACATTTTAAAATTGCACTTTGCGATGCGGCCACGTCTCGCCGCGACCTTTCCATAACGCCAGCGCCGAGACACGTGCAAACAATGTAACTGTCGAAAATATGACGACGTCGCTTTATATGTGTACCTCGTAATACTTTACTACATATCATTATGTATTTCAAAACTAAACGGTTTTTTTTATATTTTCAACTTCCAACGTTGCAAAATTTAGTGCCATTAGATTTAAAAGTCAAACCTTTAAGACTATAGATTAAAAATATTATTAGCGTCCTTACTGGCAAGGAAATAGAGAGCAGTTCTAAAGGCATACAGATTGAATAAATCTGATTATGATGGTAATTGTGAAAATTCTCAAATATATATTTTTAAAGTCATTAAAAATGTATTACCACGAATATAGAGTTACTAATCGTGTGTTACTTTTTTTGAATAATACAAAATAATACTTTACTAAAGCTAAACTCAGGAGACACGTTTTAAATAAAGTTTAAAATATATTCGTAGTAAATTTTGCAACACAGTACAATTTCAAAGTATATATTGTTCAGTTTACCGTTCATTCTGCGAGCTGTTTCAAAGCATTCTGTTAGTAAATATCAACCTTTTATCCTCTAAAAAGATCCGAAAGCGTTTTGCGTTCGAAAAGTTCACTCGATGTTTTAAAACACTTAGTTTAACTACAATGTAAAAATGCAGTGGAATGTACCTGAATCCTGTACAACATTATTTTAGATAGTTGCAAATTGTTTCGATTATGTAGCAGTTTTTAACAATAAACTTATGAAAGACAACTTTTGACGGATTAGAACCCACCTACGTAAATCACAAAACGATGGATTAATGAGAATTTAAACCGTCGTTTCCTTTGTATGTTACTTCTTCAATTTGAAGTTGTTCAACAAGAGGTGAGGAGTTCGTTTAAAATTGCACGTGCCGCCTGTGTTCAGTCCGCAGGCTGTGTCAACAGGGCCGTGGAGTAGCATCATCTAGTTAGGTGTCGAACATTGTTCAGCAGTTGTTTTGTTAGTGTTGGTGCGGCCGCTTTGCTCGTAATCATGAACACTTCAAAATGTCCCAAGGATTACGGCTAGAAATAACGTTAACACTTCACTGCTTAACTATAATTGTATAATTCTTCATCTTCAGTGCCCACACCTTTGACTAAACTATCGCACAACTGTTTAGTGTCGCTTTGATTCCAATGAGCTTATATAGAGGTGCGCATAATACTCGATTTTGTATGCAACTAAACAGTTGAATGGGCTGCGAAACAATCGACAATCGTACAACTGTAGTGCGCCCGCTCATATACGTTTGGATGTAATTTTAACGACTGCTAAATATTTTCTAATGTCAATAGAATGGTCGCAATTTAGTATGTATTTATAGTCAAAATAGTTTTCATTCACGCTGTCAACCGTATTACCAACATTGTTCTGTTCACGCTCTGTCCAAAATCCAGTCGCAGTCAAACGTTTAAGCGTAAAATAATCCAGGACATTTTCATGTAACATTTATCCCTTTGCGTTTCATTGTAGCGCTTAAAGCTTTTTAAAATAATTTTCCCATTAAAAGCTTTTATTGAATACAAATCGGCATTCGTATTGTTCTATAATCGCCTTTTATTCCAATTTTACGCTTTGTTTCAGCATTAAAATCAAATATTATTCTTTTTTGACGGTTTACGTTTACATGAATTTGTGACAGTGGAAGTTTTACCTACGTATGACCAATCATGTACCGAAATTTTAATACAGGACGTGATTAATTTAGCATAGAAAGAAAAAACTCGTCAAATTTTATGACGAAAAAGAAGATTTCTTACTATAACATTGCAAAAGATAATAATAGGAGCGGCAAGGTAACAGTAAATCCAAAGTTCCCCGCTACCACTATCTGTCGCCTCAAATTAGGGCAACTTCGAGTATTAATTACATTGTCTAATGGTCTTGTAACGCATCCCTAAATGTGTACGTTAACCTTTAATTCTTAAGTTGGTATGCTTCATTTGTTTTTTCATTTTGTTTTTAAGAGTACAGTTTATATTTAAATAACTTAGAGTATATGAAAATAAATAGAATATATCATAGGTTGTTTTTCAACGTTGAACATTTGATAAACACTGTTTTTTTTTAATTTATACTTTCGTTTTATGTTTATAACTTTTCGGAATGTTTATTCATTACATAACGGCATTATTTTAAAGCAAACTTTCCACATATGAAATAGTAATATAAGTTAAATTTATTAAAAAAGTAACGAATACATTGCACGTTAATAAACAAGGAATATAAATAAATATAATATTTCGATGTCGCGCCACTAAAGAGAATTAATTGAACTGCAATTCGTCACAGCGCAATCTCATTTCACGATTATTGGAATTTCGTGAATGACCATTTCCTATCGGAAGATCAACGAATTAAAATGTGCAATATTTTATATTGCATTTATTTTGTTACGGTATCGAGTAAAGTGCTGCTACTGGTTAGTTAGAAGCGAGTTCATTTATCCGATAAGTTGTTTTACGAACTAATTGAACGTGTGCTCCAGAGCGGATACAAATCCGTTCTGTGTTTGTATTGTACCACTTTACCTGTTATCTCTCAACAAACTGGACTATTACGTTTCGTTATGCGTGCTGTTTGTTAAGTTCCTTATGTAGTCAATCACATTAATATTTAAACATAACTAAGCCTAGTTTTCGGTTACTATTGGTAGTATTGCAATCCGGAACTTTATTGTGATGCTAGGAAATAATAGAATTAAATCACAATTGCTTTAACCCTTTAGGGAATGTCGTTTGAAATATACTATAACGACTGGCTGTTAAAAGTACACATTCAGAGTTTTTTTAAGTGTAAAAAAACCTCTTAAAATAATATCTTGACAACAAAAGAACAATACAATTAAATTATTCCATCAGACTGGCAACGAATGAAATGGAATAGGAAATATTTAAAACATTTGTGCAATTCCCGGGGGCGGCATCTACGAACAAAAACTGAATGCATTCCGGCGTCAGCGTAATCCGAGCACCAGCAACAGAAGCACTGCGCTGTGAGCTATGTGCTTTTGCCCTCTTATAAATATTAAACTCAGCGAACTTGGGACCCGCAACAAAAACGTTTATCTGGTCTTCGTGGAAAAACCGCCAGAATTAGCAACAGGGGGTGGATTAAGGCGGACCGCACTTAATCCTTCACTAAGAAGGCTTTGCTTAAACGAGTTCTAACGAGCTAAAGATAAAACAATTACCGGGGACGTGATTAAGAGATACGGAGGACACTTGTTACGTCTTACGATGACTCTGTCTTGCTCCTTTGACGGCCACTTTGCTGTGATTTTAGCTAACTCTTATTTATTCCATTCCCCGATTTCCCGAGGCGGAATTTGGAGCTCATTAGTTAATGGTTGGAACGAAACGAGCATTATTTATACCTTTTATTTATACACTGTTCTTCTTCAAAGAATTTGTATTTATCATTGTTTGGATGAATATCTAAATCTACGTAATATGTTTACTGTATTATATTCATACATATTTTATAAGACGCAACTTACGTATTAGAAGAAATTGGTTTCGGCTATACAAAAGATAGGAGTACATTTTTAGTTTGTTAGGTTAGTAATTATATTGTAAAATAAAAATATTAGTTAACTTCTGACATTTCTCATAGTTGTAGATAGTAATTAAACACCAAACTAAGCAAATATTTGATAATTAAAGGACTATCTTGAGAATATTAAATCGCGACTAATCGCTATTAGTCGCTTGTGTATTGTAAATCATTTCACCCCATAGTAGACTAATTAATAAATGCTTCAGTTATCTTAAACTTATTACGGAGCGTTAATAAATGTTACGTTAGAGACGTCATTCATGCTATAACTAAGTTAGCGCTAGTCGATAACTTGGAAAAAGAACTAAGTTAAGTGCCCCTACATAAATTAACCGACTAAGTAGTAAAAAAGTGACGTAAATTGTTTCACGTAATAAATGTAACCCTAGTTTTATTTACGCAATTTGTTTTCTAATATTGTTTAGGGAGGCTTTAGATTATACACTAATTTGAATTTTTAAATGCACATTTAAGATCCTTTGCTCGAAGCAAAAGATATTAGAATTGTAAATTAATTACCGATTACGTCGCCACGCTTTTCGCCAGCAGTCAGTCACCGAATCGATTTGGGCTCGAGCCTACAAAACTAATTACGTATCGGAGCGATCTTCATCCACGCTTTCTTACGTGCTTTTCGTATTTCCATATAAGTTGAGCTATAAACGGGCCAATCTATTCACGTCTACACATCAGGGGTTCATTTGCATATAGAGCAGAAATTTATTAAATCTACAGCCAATATCCAGCTTTTAGACATTCAACTTTTACTTATTCTCTGCGGCTCGGAAATTTTTATAGTATTGCAAAAGAAAGAGCGATCGAAGGTGCTTTTTGATGTGTTTTTTTTTAGAATCACCTTTTTTTCTTTAAATGCTCTAGTATACTTTTTACGAAGTTCATTGTAATACACATGATTTAGAGTTTTGAATTACACGTTATTTTTTTTAGACTACGATATTTTCTTTGCGTTTACATTTCAATATATTGTTACAAAAGATTATATCCACGATAAAACACAATATCTGTACTTTATTACCGCACGTCCAACTTAGTTGTGAAAGTCTATTAAAATGTAAATTAAAAATTGTTGAATAAAATATGAATTATGGAAGCTGTAAATTGAATTGTCAAAAGCGCAATTAACCCACGTCTAAACTGCGTTAATTAATTGACGGAATATTCGTAATTGAAACTTTGGCACTCGAGCGTCGTTTTCGGGCAAATCATTCCATTAGATTACTCGTTTTACGTTATGGAAACGGTGACACTCATTTTAACTCCGATATACTGTTTTGGTGTGATGAGTGATATATTTTTAATAAAATTTAAAATTTGCAAACACTTTAAGTCCATATTTAATTTGGGACATAACTTGTGCAACGTAATTCCTTTAACGGTAGCATGTTTTCGAGTACAAAAAGCGTCTCACCTATGCTACATTCATTATAAAATATCGTGTACTTTTGGTGCCTGTGAACGAATAGCATAAAGCTCGCAGGAACGGGTTGAGTGCTGTTGCATTTTAATTAATTCTCTTTTCTATCGCGATGTAGTGTTATCTGGCTCCCGCAGGCGTCGTGGACAAACAAATAGCTGTTACGCGACGGCATGTTACAATTTTCATACGGTCCCTTTGTAATTTTTTCTTTGTAGTTCATGTATCGACTATTGATCCAAATTTGATATAAATAATATTCACTACTATCACAAAATAAATCCTTTTCAAGTGTTAAATACTGTATCGTTATGACACCAAATCTATCAACGCCACCTTCATTATCTTCCTACAACTTGCAACCTAGTTTGCCTTTTTCAGTTTCATGAGTTTTTTTTTTGTTTTACAGGCGCTGGACGGGCAGAACATCTACAACGGGTGCTGCACACTCCGCATCGACTACTCAAAGATGACTTGTCTCAACGTAAAATATAACAACGACAAGTCGCGGGACTATACCAACCCGACGCTGCCGTCCGGAGACGGCGACGCGCACCAGTTGTTGACCAGTGAGTTGACGCCACAGCGGGCCCGCCTCGCACTGGCCCTCGCATCCAGGATGAGTTAGTCCAACTAATGCCCATGCCTGGAAACTTTCTACACAAATCTAAGTTTCCCTCACACTCCTATTAGCTCGATATTTCTCATTTAAACCTTCTAGTAATGTCTAGTTTTGTACCCTGTAAGGTACTATGGGGTCGTTGGATTATCTTTTGGTATTTTATAAATCATCTTACGATCTAATGAACTAATCTCGGCACCTCAAATTTTCTATTAACAATCATAGATTACATTATACTGTGTAAAATTCGGGCTTAACATTTTGTTTAAATCTCTGATTTTTTTTTTATTAATTCATAAACTCTTTTGTAAGGATTCGCTTCCAAGGTTTTTTATATTGTTCCCTCTTTTATTTTATGATAATGTACAAATTATTACCTTATTTTAAAATAAGGAGCTTATTTAATTTCTTGATCATCTCTTTATTCCCTTGTTGCCGTCATTGTTTGTTCATTTTTTTTTCAAACCTATGTAAGGTTTTGTATTTCTGAAATTCCTATCATTCAATTATCATTAATATTGTGAGTAAGAGACATTTTGTATTTTCTTAAACAATCCTCGTATTGATTCTCATATGAACATATTTTCATAATATTTTCCGAATATAATTTCCATTTTTATTGTAAGGTAATTGAGTTTTATATTTCTTTTTATTGCACTTTTATAACCTACGCAAGTTGATATTAAAACCAAGAGCTGAACCCGTTAAGGTACGTAGTAAAATAAATCTCCAACATAAAATCACACAAGAGAACATTATTTCGAACTATGTGTCTGCGTTTGTAACTTCGCGTCGGCTCTTTTCTTGTTTATTATTCATAATCAATTTTAAATGTTTCCGCAGTGACTAATAACTTTTCATAAATCCTTACTGCGCCGTAGAGGATTGTAATATATGAGGATTATTCCGACAATGCCTATTTGTTGCTCGCATTACGTGATACCGCTTTAATATTTTAGATGTCGAGCAAAACATAATCTACATCGGGCTGAGTGTTTTTGTGTCATGCGGGCTTAGTTTCAACGATGTGATTAACAAATACATTTAGGTCGCGCTTTAATATTACAAATTCTGTTTCAGGTGGTGGTGTTTTGGCTCCGCCGTTTTTGGGGTTGGGATCCGGTCTGGCGTCACCATACGGCGTGGGCGTGGGCGGAGTGGGCCTGCCGGCGTTTGGCGCCCTCACTCTGACACCGGCGTCGCCCGCCCTGCGCGCTCTCGCCGCTCCACCGATGCCTCTGGCCACCGTTCTTCTAGTCTCTAACCTCAACGAAGAGGTACGTATATCAATACATGTTTTATCCTCGCCCGTCAATCAAATGTTAACTACCAGGGACCATAATACAATTCAGTAGCGAACACCCGATCGATACATTAGCACGTCAATTTCAAATATGAAGATTGACGCAACTCAAATGTGATTTTGTTAAAAATTTCCCTCAACATAAAATAATGTTAACAGAGAGTTGAGAAAAGTGTATCAAATCAGTAATTATACCTACGTTGTCTATAAAGTAAATCATAATTCTAACACAATAGCCGGTAACGTGCACTAAGACACATTTAATTTGGGATTTCCATTGAGCCGACACGAACTAATTGATGCCAACTAATACAGAACGTTACTGGCTGTTGCACATATATATTCTACTTGAAATCCTTGATAAAATAAGTTGCTAATTTATTATAGATATGATGTCAGATATCTTTTACGACTATTTATAATACTATCTCTTTCTCTCTCCTATTGTTTTAGATGGTCACGCCTGACGCTCTCTTTACCCTTTTCGGTACGTGTGCACATACATTCCGTATTTTATATTAAAACATTAATATTGCTCCCGAGCCCTTGTCGTCTGGAAGACAAATTGTCAGCTAACATTCTCCACTTCTGTACTGATAACCGCATCCGATTACTTTGCGATCGAAGCTTTGCTTGTTAACACTATCACTCTAAACGCTTTATTAACTTGTTTGACAATTTGTGTTTCAGACGCGCTAGTTATAGATAAGTAAGTTACTACCCACTGGTTTATGTTTTTATTTAGATGCCGGTGATACGCCATGTATTTACGACAAAATTACCTTGTCCTTTAGACAGTTTATGACGCATAAGCCTGATGTAATGGATAGTTTTGGTGGCGTCCCTTAGAACGTAGATTTATGATTGTGTACTTTGGGAATGTAATGAGAGAAGATACATAATGAATGTAACTATAATAATTGGCACATTCACCGTAGAAGAAAGAAGTTTGTTCCCGTTATGTAGAACTCCCGCTTAACACTTCCGGCCGGACCGAGGCCTTCCGCTGGTAACCTCTACAGCATTAATCGGAAGCTTATACGTGACCAGATTAGAACTTGAAATTGTTTTCTTCTTGTATTCATTTTCAATCTATCCCGCTTCACGAGTTACGTATTTAAACAAACAGCTAAATACATAATTAACGTGAAGTCGTGTGCTTAATACAACCTCAATAACCTAAGTAGGACTCGGATTTGCAAACATTTCGCTTCGGTCGTCCATTTCGTGTAAAGAGAACAATTGTTTGTGGCAAATGTTTGTTCAAATTTAATTATAACGTACATGCAGTATATAAAATGAACAACCGAGGTTCGCCGTCTCTCCTCAAATATATACAGTAGTATGAAAGCATTGCTTAGTTTCTGACGCATATTTTTATATGTAGGCGTGTATGGCGATGTGCAGCGAGTGAAGATCCTCTACAACAAAAAAGATTCAGCCCTAATTCAAATGGCGGAACCGCATCAAGCTCATTTGGGTACGTATTATTGTCGACTTTATTACATTTTCGTAAGGTTCATATTACAAGATATATTGAATAAAAGGTATGTTTCTCGTTTAGAATATGAGCGACATGTCTTTCTCTAGCCGCCTGCATTATGTTTTGTGTCAAGTAGTAAATCTGAGTAATGCATGTGTATAATGATAATATATTTTTCACTTTTTGTTACAGTCGTAGAGAGAAAGTCATGTTACAATTTATAAGTTTTGTAAATAGTACGTCAAGTATTCTTGTCGCCTTTTCTCTCAATTGGCATAGGTTATATCTTTATTATTTCTATTCGTAGATTCATAAATTAACGAAATACATTTAATATATTTTTATGGACTTGGAAATATAACAGAGAAATAATGAGCAATTTAGGGTGTAATGTCGTTAAGTTTGTAGCGGCCGTAATGTACGAGTCTCGGGTTTAAATCGTCATTATTAGTTCGCTACAGAATAATTATTTATGTCGCGAAGCTTTCCCGCAACCAACAGCCGAAATATGTTGCTGTTTTTTCTAATATTTTTAAAACGTATCATATACTTAGACATATTATTTTTATCGCGATACGACGATTTGTGGCACTTTAGTATTGTTTTGTTATTCACTAAAAGACATTTAATATTGCACTGATCTCTGAGGATGACCATGAATATCTTGTCGCAACACTTGTCCTCTACATCGAGAATAATTTGTCTCTTACATTGTAAGTTCTTCTTCTTCGTTTATTAGTTATTGATATGATGTGGTACAAATTAACAGCGATGACGCACATGGACAAGTTGCGCGTGTTCGGGAAGGCGATGCGTGTCATGCTCAGCAAGCACCAGACGGTGCAACTGCCTAAAGAAGGTCAGCCAGACGCCGGGCTTACCAGGTATGTCCTTTGTGTAATGATTAAGGGGATCCAACTAACTCATCAGGCGTATTATTTTATTTTGTTTCTTTTACATCATAAGTTAACAAGCGAGCAAGCGGCCACCTGAATCCGCCAAAATGAAGAAGCGACCGCTGCCCATAGACATCCGCAATAGCGGATGTGTTGCCCTTAATTGACGGAGGAGGACACACACATAAAGAGGATGTTTCCCCTTTCTATGCGTCTCCTCCACCGTCAAATCTACGTCCCCTTTCTACCATCTTATTATAAATCAAATTGAGCCACCGGCACCACACTCATCAGACGAAACGTAGAATTGCTCCCACTTCACGCCTGTCTTCAGTGTGTCCATGGTATTTCACCGGGCGAGCCGACCCATGCGTGTGAAAGTGTTAAAGGCTCTACCACTGTAAACTTTGTATTATATTTCGTTTTAATTGTCTGTGCATTGATTTTCAGAGATTACTCTCAAAGCCCGCTGCATAGATTCAAGAAGCCGGGCAGCAAAAACTACCAGAACATCTACCCGCCGAGCGCCACACTGCACCTCTCCAACATTCCGTGAGTTATCATTCATTTGGACAGCTATCATTAGGTGAGCGGAGCGGAGTTATGACGTGTACGTTTGTCCGCAGAGCGACCGTGTCCGAGGAGGATATTAAGGAGGCGTTCACCAAGCGCGGCTTCACGATCAAAGCGTTCAAGTTCTTCCCGTAAGTATTTTATTTCAACTGACAATCGGTTTATCACTTCACGCGCGCTAAATTTATTTCAAAGATCCATGTTTTAAAGATGCCATTTCAAAGAATAGGGGCCTGTCCCATCAACTTGTAACTAAATTGTCTGAAACAATCCAACGTGTAAAATATGTGATAGAAATATCGGATTTTGTTCACTTATCTGACAGTGACGTTATTTTTAAGCAGAGACTCTATCAGCTAATGGTGAGACAGACCCTTACTATTACATTTAGTCATAACAATCAGATATAACTAAACGCGTGAATTCTAAAAAATAAAAGACACCTTGTAAAGTTTTCATGGTGATCGTTTGTAAAAGTAAAATGTTGCCAAAATAGAAAAATAAGTTATTGATTATTCGTTTCGTCAGGTCGTGTCACTAGCCTGTACAAATGGACAGGCTGTAAACAATGGTATTCGCGCTGATGTTTGCGATTGGTGGCGATGAAGAGTTTTCTAACTAATAATAATGGAAAATGTCACTCGCATTAACATCAAAACTCGCGTTTAAATCTATCTAAAGCGAATGTTGCCATTTCTAAATAATTCGATCTGTTAGTAATGTTGTATGTTGTGAACGTTGCAGTAAGGACCGCAAGATGGCGCTGGTGCAGCTGCTGTCCATCGACGAGGCGGTGGCGGCGCTCATCAAGATGCACAACCACCAGCTCTCCGAGTCCAACCACCTGCGGGTCTCCTTCTCCAAATCCAGTATCTAAAATACATACGCAGCCGACATCGGAATATCACACAATTATACCCCGGCCGCTGTCCACGTTTTTTAATCTTTTAACGATACGATTTATCCGATTAATGTCAAGTTTTTGGGCTCAAATGAAATGTTATATTTATAATCGATTATATCGTTGACAGCGGCCGGTGTTGCCAGTCGCGTCCTCTGACAGTTGTGTCGCGTGTAAAATGGATTTCCTTATCTATAGTTGGCCGCGAATTAGCTACGACCTCTCACTCAAATCGAGAATAATGCTCGACTGAAATTTTTAAATATAATCTATATTACGCTTACTCGGATCAGTCTAGAAGTTAAGTGCTACTTTTTCCTTAGTGTAAATGTACAACTTACTGTAACTGTACATGTTATTTAAGGGACATTTCACTTGATGCGATCCAAGGACCTGGGATAGGTTACGTTATAATGAATTGTCATACGGAGAGGATTTATTTTGTGTGATATTCATCTTACGTTGTTTCCATGTTACGGATGTTTCCGTTGTGTTTACATTAGCCGTGTCTGTCGATGAATTTGTATTGTTTGCAATTAGATTGCGCTAGAATTATTTACATTTGTCATTTCCCAGTGCTAAGCAATGTGAGACATTGTCGGTTTACGGTTATTATTTCAGGCTATCGTGCCGTCTGAATACTTTAACATATTTATCACTAGTTAAAAACATATTTACTTTGTCACATATAATTTGCAGTTATCGATATAAGATTATATTTTATACATATATTTTATGCTCTATTTTAATATGCACAATTTACTATTATTGCATTTCTATTAAATATGGTTTTGTACGCATACACATTTTTTCTTTTATATAATTATGATAATGAAATGCTTTAGAAATGTGTATGTGTGTGCAATATTAGTTGTAGCAACATTTACATAGATTATGTTAGACATAGTTCATATATTATCTGTATCTCTCTTCCATATCTGTTACGTTTTCTATCTGTTCGTTGTTCCGATAGTCTTCTCTGTTAGTTAGCGTAATCATTACTCCTACGACTAGCGCCTAGTGAATATATCACGATATACATAAATGTTATGTTTAGTGACATAATAGTGACATGATGCATTTATTTTTATGTTAATTTATATTAATGGTAGCTGCAACATACTATAAATGCTCGTGCGTACATTTCACTAAGCAATTATTGATAGAGAAAATATTTATTTATACCCTGTTAGGAGTTCCGATGCCGTACGTTCGTGTGGCCTAGTGCGCGATGACGGATTCTTAGAATGCGCGGTTCACACTTGGCCAGTAGCGCTAAATAACTGGACTGGCAATTAACTGGCGCAGTGAGTCCATACAATCTATGGCTGGCCGCAACTCTTTAACTGTACTGGCGAAGTCTGAACCGCGCATAATATTCGTTGTGATGTGGTTCTGTGGCCGCACGACGATGACAGCGCCCCGCGCCCCCGCGGCCGCCGCCGGCAACGCTCAGTCAGTATTCGTGCTCTGACGCAGTTATTTCGTTAAGGAATCAGTATTTTAGTTTTATAGCTCTCCCTGTGCACTGTGTATATACCTAACGCTCGATTCAGTGAGCTCTCATTATTCCCGGACTGTCCCTTTTCAAACGAATTGGTTTTCACACATCTTTGCCTTCTTAAATTATTTGTAAAATGCGTCTAGTCCAATGCAAAAGAGATTAAGTTTTTGAATTAAGTAAGATCGTTTATGTTGTCGACGTTATATCCTTTCAAATTTCTCTCCAATGTTTGAAATTTCCTTGTTTTGTTAATCGTTTATTCGACATAGGATGGTGCCCAGCGAAGCCTATGCTATTAACTTAGGACCAGTTTTAAGTGTTCAGTTTTACGTCCAGATTATGTGATTAGGCAAAGCATGCGTGAAACAGATACCTGAATTATGACAAATTATTGCAAACGTTTCCTAAACTTTTCGAAGCGACGTGCGGCTCGAAGTTTATACTTGGACTGCAAAGAATTACATATCTTCGATGTCACAAGTAGTTAATCAAATATATATAGCAGATTGTTTGTTGTTTGTGTTGTTAACATTGAACGTTAGTAAGTCGTCTTCGTGCAGCTGACATGAAGTGACAGTTCAGTGATACAGATGAAAAATTTTCAAAGACTTCCGTCAGTTAGTGACTCTTGGGCCACAACGTTACAATCGATCGATACAAAAGTCGATATCAACTCATTCTCTCTAATTAAATAGCAGTCGGTAAAAAATTACATATTTACACTATTATAGAATGTATCGTATACATTGCGATTTAAGATATAAAAATAGAGCTTAGTAAGACGGTTAAAAGTAAAAAAAAAATAGTTTGACGTTAAAATGTAAGGTTTATTAGAGGAATTCGATAACAAACTGTATGATTCAATACCTACTCGTATATCTACGATAAGAGCGTGTAAGTAGTTACTCGGTTTAGATAATGTTAGGTGACCAGGGTGTGGTGATATTTTGCACGTTTTTGAAAATGTTTTTCTAAGGGGGTACAGTCACCTCTGTGCCTGCGTTTTGAAATGATACGGGAAGCGAAGTGCGGTCGGTGATGGTCTGTTCGGCGAGTGAGAAATTCGCATTTGTAATTTAATTATTATGTATTTATAAAACTAAATCACAAAAAGGAGATTACATATCCAATGTCTTCAGCGTGGAACGCTACACACATCACTGCATTTTGTTCATATCTTTCGGATTAATTGTATAGTTAAATTTACATTATGAAATGCAGTGTTTATTGTAATGAACTTTATAAAATATCGACATGTTCTCTGCTCATCTACAAACTAAATATAGATAATACTTTATCGATCAGAAAACGTTGTTGGCCAATTCAATACATATACATTGTTAACTTAATAAGCTAGCAGTAATTATTTAATCAAATATGTTAAGTAAATAGATATTGTAATTTTATTAATAATAATTATTGAGATATAATTGTCCTTGTGTCCTTTTCCGATAGTCAATGTCACGGAACCACCACTCAATTTCGGTGTAATCCTGCAATTGATTTGGCACGTTGTAGACATGAGTACTCTTCTGTCTGACGTGCCAACTCAAGTGTCAATATATCGCTGACCATAAGAGCTGATAGATAATATATACTCTATTCTTAGGGCCTGTCCCACCAAATTGTAAAATGTCTGATAATAATCCAATGTGTAAATTAATTGATGGAAATATCGGATTTCGTTCCCTTAACTGACAATGATGTCATTTTTAACCTATCTGAGCCTTTATCAGCCAGTGGTGGGACAGGCCCTTTATGTTGTGATTGTGAAATTTTTCGTTTCACAGGAGTGAGTTGACAAATATCCAACGTTGTCCCGGTTCAATATGGAGAGTTTGTTAACTATGTGTGTAGCGTTTTGTGGCCTAACTCTTCTCAATAACACTGGTATTGACTTATAGATAATTCTAGGGATTTATGTGTTTAGAAAAGTATTTTTAAATATTTAGGTATAATACGATAAAGTTATAAAAGATAAAGTAAAAAAATAATTAAATTCAGTGTTTAGAATGAGATGCCAAATTAAAAGTCAATACACATTATTTTAGGTAACGTAATCGATGTAATCTTAACATTTATTGAAATGTTGATGAAAATGTTACAGTTAAATTATATTTGAGAGTTTTATTAAGCGCAATATATGCAATTTAATTGATCGTAAGTGAACATTGTTTCAATTTGTTCGTTAAAGTTATACGTTGAGAATGTGCGAGGCTTTCCGCAGCCCCGGTACTGTTTCTTTGATTGTCTTCACTCTGCATTCGTTCTTCGTGTACACCTCAAACATATCTCTCCATATCACATACGTTGTTTACTATAATTGCGCTTCTTAACATATCTTATTGTATTAGCTGTACGATATATGTATCACAGTGAATACCGACATATATCTATATTGGGCAAAGGCACATGTGTTTAATAACTATTCCATTCGAATACCCTTTTTCTCTCTAATTTTTATTTCATTAAACTTTTTCGTATATTTAATATGTTTTAACTTAATTTACATTGTCGTCTTTATTTTCTTATTTTAGTATTAAGCCTTTTGTGTGGTTAATTTCAATCTTTATTTTAGTTTCATAATTAAACTATTTTTATCATTGATAACTTTTGTTTTTCTTTATTTTTTTTTTCCTCCTTGTCCTTCTTTGTTCCTTTAAGAGATATATATAATTATATAAAATACTCAAACTTCTTGTTTATATTGTCAGTTTTTCTCCACGTGTTTGTTCGTTGTCACCTCACATTCGGATGTCGTGTAACAAAAGGTCTCATCAGTCGACGAGGTACACTATTTGTAAATAAATTTATAAATTTCAAAGGGGATCAATATAAAGAGATGTACAGTAGTACGATCGCTACTCTAGACATATTCGTACCTATTTAGATCTTAACTATCCTGACAGTAATATTTTTTACCTGTATTTAAATTTATTATGTACCTACCTATAAAGTGTTTTAATGCCCATAAATTCACCTTCATTTTCACCTTTATCCTAAAGTCCGCTTGGTGTTAGCGAGAATTTAGGCAAATTACAGGTTATTTAGTTGAATTGTGAATGGGGTAAGGGACTTAAAATATTGCCAATGATATGTTATAAATATTATCAAGTGGAATATATTTCGCACAGGGTATAATGTGAATAAATTTTATCGCTCACCCTGGCAACTGGCGGCCGGGGCGGTGATTTATGTCCGTGCCACGTCCCTTATTCCTGATGCGTTGAAAGAACTGAACCATTCCATTATTGAAACATTATCTTAGTCGAAGGAAAATGTATAACTGCCAATTAATAGGACTAAATCCTACAGTAGAGTATTCGCTGAACGCGACAGTAGCTAATTACCTATTATAAGTGCTCTCTATATTTCTAAATTAAAATAATCATTACAATATATATTAAACCTATTAAAATGGCAGTTATCGTCTCGTTGAAATAATCTACCGATGTAAATATTATACAATTTATAAATAATTACAAATTAAATTAATAGAATGTATTACAGATTAACATAATCATTAAATTAAGACTTAGATAAAAATATCCTATTCTGATTTCGGTAGTCGCTCTAGTGAATAATGAATACCTGCCTCCGAGTTAAGAAACTTCTTAGTATTATTGTAATTGCCCACCTGTTCCTTCGTGATTTTAGTGACGTTCTGATTCGTTTGATAAAACAATGGTGTGCAAATTAAAGGGTTGTGTGTAAAGTTAAAATAGTCTAATAGATTTAAACAGTCGCTCACGTAGCGGATGAATTGTTTTATTGTTTCCGTAATATTTGGCTCTAGAATGATGGTTTTAGTTAAATATGTTAATAATTTAGCGTTATTGAATTCATTATGCCAAAGACCAATTATTGGGACAAAATAACAGGGATCTAATTATATGTTTGTTTTCTCTAATCTAATTCAGATACTAACATAATAGCAAGCTTTAACGAGCCTTTATATATTATATTCCAAAAGAATGTATTTTGTGGATTCTTTAGTAAAACTTGATTTTTCTAACCGCCGATGGGTCCTTACGTAAGGCCGAGAGCACACTATCTATATTACAGCAGTTATGTGAATTATAAATATATACACAATTTTAACATCTAAGTGACTACACTACTAAACTCTAGATTTATTCTTTGTCATTTTATAATAAAATATAGTTGAAATAATTGTAGTTTAATTGAATCCTTCCGCTCCAAAAACTCTTTCATTTCCCCCAGTTCATGCTTGGACATATAAAATAGAGAGTTAAAGAATATAAATATACTTCTTTCGTCGCTGGTCCAAAATTTCCTTGATCATCTTTTTCTCTACCGCTCAATCTAAACAAAGATGATAAAGATCCCAAGTAACAGAAACAAGCACCTAAAACACCTATAGTAATGCTCATGTTGTTTCATGTAGTAATTATCATAATCAGTAATATTACGGTCATAGAATGATGTTTAGAGAGCAAGGTTTGAAAGATGTGTCGATAGCTCTTCTAATTCGTACGTCTACTTATTTAGCAGGTCGGCGGATTTTTCGGAATATTATACACATCAATTTATTTTGAGAGACTTTTTAGTCTATCCATATTTGAAAGTTCATCCAACGTAAGTTTGAAAATTCTTCACCGCAATCAACCGTAACCGTCAACGCTAAAATGTCGAAATTCAAGTAGACACAAAATATCACAGCTTATAGCCTGTCCATTTATAGAAGTCAGTGATGTCGATAGTTTGGTTCTATGGCACAAATGTTTAATGGCAATTCGAAAATATCACCTGGCAATAAACTGTCAATGTCTCACAATTTGTCAGTGTCAGCTGTCAAGTATTATAATTTGTGTATTACGAATTTCGTGTGAGAATTAGAATTTCGAGTTTCGTAATATCTTACCGCCGTTCGAAATATTTAAACATGAAACAACAATAATTTTGAACATCAACAAGATGATAAGAACAGCGATACGATTGACGCCGACATTTGCTTTTCCCTTTTTTGAAAAGCGAAACATAAATGATCATGATAAACTTCATAACCCTGAACCACAAACCGTCGATACCGGTCTGGAAAGAGTTAAGAAAATGTTTCAGAGAGAGTAAGTAATCTTGGCGAAAAGACCAATCTGTTTTAAGTTGATGATTGTTGAATTACACTTTTACACCAGCACCACTTAAGCAATGGCTTAAGTTGTTCAATGAATTAAAGCCATATATTAATTGACGAATTTAGAGGAGACATCACGAGATAAAGCTGTTATGTTATAACTGAGGGTAGATGAGAATATACAGTTTATTTAGAAATAAATTTTCCAACTTCCCTGTTACAGTGAATTTGAAGAAGTGTCAGTTGAACTACATAATGTTATACAAGCAACACTCTCTGGGTCATTTATAGGTGCTTGCTTTGGAGGGTTTTTGAAATCAAGGGACGCTTACATTAAGTTTATTGAAAGAAATCAAGCAACTGCTTTTACCTCTACAATGCAAGCAAAGGTAAGAAACAAGTATGTACATAGCCTTGGTAGTCTGTAATTGACAAATCCTTACATAAATAATCTAATTTTATCATGAAGATTATCAGATAGATCTCAAATGGTTTTAAGAATCCGAAGACTGACTAAAAATTGTATTAGGGGAACACAGAGGTTGCACAGTCACCCATTAAAAAAATATGGTTTTAAGTGTGTTGATCTACTACTGAAACTATTGTATTATTTATGTTTTAGAAACAATTGCAAGATCATGTGACAATTGGATTTGCAAAAGGAGCAGTCCACTGGGGGTGGAGATTGGGTTTATTTACAGGGTGTTTTAGGTAATTATAAATTTGAATTTATGTTATGCCTATGTGTTCTTCCAGACTATTGTCTATATCTATACCAATTTCCATCAAAATCCGTTCAGCCGTTTAGGCTACAAACTCTAGCAAACATCCATCTATCCATCCATCTTTGTGTTTATATTAAGAATGATTTGTGAATTAAAATATTCCCTCTTCAATGTATACAGATTATATTTAGTTGTTTTATTTTTTAGTCTAATTACCACTGTGATAGCAGTGTATCGTGGAGAGCCGTCATTGGTTGACTACATCATGGCAGGCGCACTCACCGGAGGCATGTATAAAGCAAACTTAGGAATCGCTGCGACTATTGTCGGCGCTACACTTGGTATGGATTTTATTTTAATAATAAATTTTCACAAAAAAAGCATGGGTGGCCACATTTGACTTGTAATTCTTATAATGAGGGACAACATAGTGATGCAACTTGCTCACCATCATTATCATCATCAGCTTGCTGTACTTCCTCATGGCTCTGAGCTTATCCAAAGTAAGGTGACTAGGTTTATTCAACTATGCTGGCTCACTGCAGATTGGTGCACTTTCACATATGTCCAATGAATTTTAAAGATATGTATGACCCACAGTGGGCCAGCATCGTTGACTATGGCCTGATCACCTTACTTAGGTTGGGCTTTGAGCCCCTCAGTGGGGATGTATAGTGAGCTGATGATGAAACTCTAATTACCTAAGTAACATTATCGGACTTCCCTAGTTAATGCCTACAGCCTAAATAACTTAACCAATTTTTATCAGTGATATGCTTTTTATTCTTTATCAATTCTAAATTCTCTGTTAATTCTAAATTGTTATAAGATTCTTTCCTTTCCATCAGTGAGTTAGATTTTTTATTTTTCAAATAGCAATTTGGATTTTTTTTTAATTTATTCCACAAAATTTATTTCAGGTGGCGCTTTAAGTGCAATTGGTGGGCTACTTATTTTGAATATTTTAAAAATCTCAGGAGTATCCATGGATGAAATAAGAGGAGCTTTGTATAAAATCAAATTAGCAAGGTATGTGATTGATTTGTATTATTCTGTAAGGTGAAAATAATAGTTTTCTCACTAATAATTTTCTGATCAAGTAACTAAAATGAGGTCTATGTTTGAGTAAAAAATAGTCGTGTTTATTAGTACAATACAGTGGAAAGTATTGTACCAATATTGTGTTAAAATGTAGTGCATTTACGAAAAATTTTCCTAATGTATATTTTTTTCTAAACTGTTTTAACAAATAGTAAATATTCATTCATTTTTTTTTACAGAGAAGATCAATACAACCAGGTGTTGGAGAAATCGGCGAAAGAAAAACACGACAATTTAACAAGGCATCATGATAAACTGGTCACTGAAAAGGGAGAGAAGAAAATTGAAGAAATATCGTAATTTAGTCAAGTTATACTAAACTTAAATTATTTCATTTTGTAAATATTATTAAAAGCGGTTAATGATTTGGGTCTTTTTTGTGTGATTATAATCTCGTCTTATTTCTATTATGTGAAAATTTGGATGGACAGATTTATTAGAGTTTGTAGCCCAAACGCATTAACAGATCTTGATAAAATTTGACATTGGTGTAGATCATAGCCTGAACTGGAAGAACATTCGGCCCCTTTTGTTTTTTTTAATACCACGAGAACGGAGTCGCGGGCGAAATCGAACATAAATTATGAACTAAAAAACGCAATATTACCTACTTTAGGTCTACAAGGTCTACTTTAAATTGGTTCTACACATATTCTATGAATTCTTATTTATACAAATGACCAGATGTTGCCCAAGACTTCGTCCGCGTGGAGTTAAGTTCAAAATTGCGTTTGCTTCCTTGGTGATTTTTTAAATCTGGGGTCCAGAAATGCGCTGTTTATCAATGGTTCCTAAACATAAGTAATAATAAAGTTTACGTGAATACATAGAAAAATACAAATCTTTCCTCTTTACAACATTCACTGCCAAAACTGGGTGTAGCGGCTTAAACATTTTTATCTAATGAAAACAACAAAAGTATATTAAAAGCGCTTTATTGACAATAAAATTGTTACAACACAGACAATACTAAAATTACATATAAAAATAGTAATCTATAAAATTTCTTGTGCACAAAATTTTGAACGAGACAATAAAATTGAAATAAGTCATACGCAGCCTAATTACACAATAATAAAGAATTTATAGAAAACTAGCTTTCGCCCGCAACTCCGTCCGCGTAGAATTGATAAAAAATAAAAGCAGTAGCCTCTGTGTTCTTCCATACTATCCTCTAGGTCTATGCCAAACTTCATCGAGATCCGTTTAGGCTACAAACTCTAAAAAACATCCATCCATCTAAACATTCGCATTTATAATATTAGTAATAGTTGACACATAAGGAGACAGTCTAAAGGCAAGATAGGACTGGAACCATTGTACTTTTATACCATAATTATTAACCGTAGGCTTCCATTGAAATATACAAAATTATTTTATTATACGTATTTCTTTCGTAGTGATTAAAATATTTTGTATTGTTTCTATAAAAGCCAACAATTATCTTGAGCAAACTAAACATAAATGCTATGAACAGGGACAAAATAGTTGAAATCTACGACTAACATTTGAATAAAATATCTCATTGAAGTTTTATACAAAAATACATAGTAGACAGGGTTATTTCATTTATTATTAATTTCAGAGCATTTAGGATGGAAAAAGAGCTTTTTAATACTACAAAAAATCATACATTTAATAAAAAAATTGCGTATACAAAAACATTACATCTATACTAAGGTTTATTTTAGTAGAAAATCTTTTTCAAATATTGCAATTTGTAAAAAAAATAAAATTAAAAGCACTTACTAGTCAAGTCTAAAAGTTATAAGGTCTACAGAAAGTAGATAAACTATAAGTAAAAACATCAAGGGAACTTTTTAGTATAATTTTCACTGCATAAAAGAGCAAAGCATATATTTAAAAAAAAATGTTAAACAATCTAAAAACAGTTTTTACATAAAAAATCATCTTTTTCAATAAAATTATAGTAATTTTGATACAAATATAGAAAGTGATTTCTAAACAAGTGATTTATTTAATTTATAATACATTTATCATAGTTATTTCTTATAGTTACTGTAATTCTTATAATTCCATCTTTTTGGTAACATTTGCAAAATAACCTGAATAGTCACTAAGTTGTGGAATATATATTACTGGCAACTAAATGGCTATTACAATTAATACAAAAAATATAAACTGACAGCCTGAAAAAACACTCTTACAGCAAAATTCACACATTGATAATAAAAAAAAAATCATAAAATGTTTTGTTATCGTACGAACTTAATTTGTTGATTATGTCACTGGGCATATTACTAACTGAAGATAGACAGTTTATATACCTAATGAGAATATAAACGGTATATCACGGTTTCCATAATATACCATAAAACGGAATTTACAATTATTTTCATATTTCGTAACACATTAAAAACAGATAATTACTAACAGTTTATTACATCACACAATTTTCTGTTAGTCTTATAATTCATTATTATATTATGACTTGGATAATTCTACATTACATGCTATTTTGAATTAAAAATCACTTCATACACAGGCAATAAAATGAAATAATCTCATTTTAGTGTTGTGAAGCTGATTAAAATCTGTTTTTTTTTTCATTTATTTTTGATAAAATAAAAATAAATAGTAGTCTAAAATTTTGACGAACAAAGTCAGTCCAACCAAAGTTAGAATGTATTTAATTTTCGATTGAACATTTATTAAAAAAAATAATTTCATAATGCATTTTTATTTTAAAACTATTTTAAAAAGAATAATTTCATTGATGTAAAAAACAATATATTTTACACAGCATATTTCAGCAAAATTCATTTTATAAAACTTACAAGTAAAATTTTATAATTCATTGATTGCGTAAAATGTAACACTCGAAGCCTAAAAGCTAGAAATAAATCATTTTAAAATCGTTTGTAAAAAATATTTCAATACTAATAACAATATTGCAACTTGGAAGAATAATACTATACGGCTAGGGATGACCAAGTATAAAATATCGAATATCGAAACATCCACCAATGATGCACATATTTAGTAAAAATAATACAGAAATAATACAAAAGTAATCTTTTATTTTGTTGTTTTAAAATGTAAAAATATTGCACATTTTTATAATCATGAATTCATTGATGGATTAACAGTTCATTGGAATATCGATAATTGTATTCGTAATCGATAAAAATTCTAATCGATGTTTGACCATCCCTATGTTTACAAGCCCACTTGTTTAGAATTTTTTACTGCGATGTCTGAGACTTGGTGATGCGTTTTGCACCTCTATTTGGAGGACCTTTAGGTTTAGCGAAGGCAGGTCTGTGAAGGTTTCTCTTTGGATGGATTTCATCATATAAAAATTCTTCCGTTAATTCTTTACCATCATCTATTTCCAACTAAAATAAAAACATATTTGCGTACAGAAAAACATCAATATAGAAAGAAAAATAAGTTAAGAGAATTTATTTTTTTATATTTAAGACTAGCTGCTGCACGGGACTTCGCCCGCGTGAAATTAATAAAAGTTTGAGTTTTTTAAAAATCGGCCCAGTTGTTTTTGAGTTATTTCAATACATACAAAAATACAAATCTTTTCTCTTTATAATATTAGTATAGGTTAAGAATTATAGAAAATCACTTACCCTTTTGGCAATCTCGATGCCCATTTTTTCAATAATATCTAAAAAGGTTCCTATACAACTTGAATACAACATTCTTTCCTTTATACTGCAGCTGTATCCCGGCATAGAGTAGATGAACACTGAAATAATAAAATATCAATGAATAAAACTATACAACACTAGCTTTAGCCTTCGACTCCGATCCCCTGGAATTAGAAAAAAACAAAGCAAGTTGCCTTTGTGTTCTTCCAGACTATGCTTTACAACTATGCCAAATTTCATCGAGATCCATTCAGCTGTTTAGGCTGCATACTAACAAATATTCACCTATCCATCCATCCATCCAATCGCATTTATGATATTAAGAATGTGTGTTCTATCTATGTTCAGAGATAATGAAAGAGATCAACTATGTTTTAGTATGAATGTTACCAGAATGGAGATTCAAGCTTAGTTTGCAAAGAAAAATTTACTAAAGATCACCCATCTTCAAAAACTGCAAAAACCATTGAATTATGGTTTACAAACGTTAAAATATTACTTACAAATGTCAATTTGTATAGTTATGTGAAATTGTGTAGTGGTCTTGCATACTTCTATACTATGTTGAGTAAAGTTCGGTTAAAACAATGTTAAGTTACAGATAATTTTAACTTTAAAATGAACTTTACTTACCAATACTTTCCAAGTAATCGCCTTCGTGCGTGTGTTTGAACACGAAGAGATGGTACCTGGCGTGGTCTGCCGGCACTTGACGAGGTAATTCCGATTTCTCGATCATAGAAGCTTTCGCTAGAAGAATCTTTTCTTCATCTATATCTGTAAATAGTCAATAATGGAGATATATTAATCTGAATCTGTACTAAAATAAAGTGCAAACGCAAACTTATCTTTTACTAGCTTTGGCCCGTGATTCCGTCTGCGCGGTTACAAATATCAAGTAGTCTATGTGTTCTTCCGGACTATCCTCTACATCTATGCCAAATTTCATCGAAATCCGTTCAGCCGTTTAGGCTAAAAACTCTAACAAACATCCATCCATCTAAACTCTCGCATTTATATTAGTATGATGTAACATATCAGCTATCATAGCATATTTCTAAATAAATATTTTTTTAATGAAAAGCCTTACACTTAAGGCAGGCATTTTTACACTATTTAATTATGAGGGTAAATAATTTGGAAAAAATTCCATAAGAGAAATACAAGCCAATAGCAGTAAAAAAAGCAATATTGAGGTAACCATGGTAACAGTAATTGTTAGCCTTTGTTGTCTTAAGCATTTAAAGTTCGACATTTGCAAATAAAAAACATTTTATAGAATGTAAACAATAAAATATATTTTTTTATTGTTATCTTGTTACACGCAATGAAGAGGGATATAAAATATTATAAAGATTATCTTACCTATTTTAAATTGTAAATAATTATAGGAACCATGTTGGAGATCAATAATGCCCTGTTTTGCGTCTTCAGTTATTGGAAACGAAACACCACCCATTGTAGACTGTCTGGAAAATCAATTAAAAATCAATGAAGCTGATATAACAAGAACTGTTAATGGGTCACTAAGGAAGAACCTTAGTGAAGCCTCATACTACACCAATGATAAACACATTACAACTTTGAATAGCAATTAAATTGTTTTTAAAAACCAACATTTCGTCAACTTTTAATATGTTTTACCTTGAATCAGTACCATAGTTGGGACTATGTTCATTTTGTTGCAGTTCTTTTAATGCTTCTTCCCTGTCTGTGAGCGGTGCCGGAGCGTTCACCCCACTCAGGTGTGCCTTGTAGCCTTTCAGACTGACTTCATCCTGGAAACAATAGATTCAAACTATTTACTCTTTAAAAATCCTTTTAAGCCACTGATCGCTACAAATGGATAGGCTAATCGCATTTTATGTTTATTTGATTTTTAACATCTTGGTGCTGATGAAAACGGTTGTTTGCAATTGCGAGAATTGGAATTAATAATAGAAATCGAATTAACTGTCATTAACGCCAACAAAAAGCTTATCAAAAGTAATTTCCATGCAAATATAGGTCTTTGTTACAAGCCTTAAACCTGCTGCATATCGAGTATTATTTGTTAAAATTTTGCCTCTATGTTTTAACAGTTAGATTCTTCAGAGATTTAGCACAGTATTCATAATTACCTTGCTTGTGGCATGCATTTCATCTTTAATATGAGCCGTTCCGAATTCCTGTTTAAGTGTGGCCTTAGTGGAAGCATATAACATCTTCTGCCTCACCGGGGCACTGTCTGGTGACCAGCTCAGCAGCAGCCATTCATGACCAACTGAATTTGTTGAATCAAATCTATAAATACAAATATATTATATTGGTTTTGTCTTAATTTTTAACTAGCTGTTGCTTGCGACTTCATCTATGGGAAATTAAAAATTAAAGAAAAATATAGATTACATACTAATAACAGCTTTGCAATAGTGAAAGCAGAAGAAGAAAAAGAAAGAAAGAATTGCGTTATTTCAATACATACAAAATTCCCAAAAAAAAAAACAAATCTCTCCTCTTTACAACATTAGTATAGGTATGTATATATATAACTTCATATACATACAGTCATCAATTTTGAAATCTTAAAATATTTTGTACCCCGTAAACTGATTGGCCCCATAATTCTTCCAATAGATATTTTTTCCTCAACCATCCAATCAATCAGTGGGATGATCAATTCATCGGAAAACCCTATTTCAAATAAATACAGATATTCATTTAACTTGTAACCAACAGTGATGCAGCCAAAAAACTAACTTTTTTTATGAAATCAAAACAACTGTATTTTTGTTAATTTACATATTTACATTATTTTAAAAAACTATTATATATCAATCACATCTTGTCTGTTATACTTCCTTTTCTTCTTCTATTTTTACTATATCTTTTTTAATAACCAAACATGCTAGTTTTGGTGGCCAGTATGCAACCTCTTTGGCTGTATTCATACTTCTTGTCCAAAGAGGTTGTATTTTGCACTGAACAGTAGTAATCATTGAGGAAATTTAAAGAGACTGATACAAATGGCAAATTGATATTACTAACCTGTATAAAATGTAGCAAGGGAGATCATCTATAACTAATGAAGGTACAAATTTATCAAAGTCATGTTCCCAGGAACCTTTAACAGCTTGGTATTTAGACAATATAAGCTGTTCTGTAAATGTCATAAAAAAACTTTAGAAATGTTAATTTAAAAAAAAAGAGAAAAAGTTATGGTGACAAATAAATTACCATTGTCAATGGTGACTTTTAATACACGAATTTTTCCATCTCTACATTTAGTGAAGTATTTTTTCAATTCAGTATTGGCTGAAAATAAAATAATTATTTATCAACACACAACTAACATTAAACACAAAACACAATAATATATACATATTACTCGCTACACAATGTATATTTATGGCTTATAGGTTGTATCAGAAATTATTCTAAGGAATATTGCATGTTGAAAATAAAAACATATAACAAACTTATAAAATTGAAATTAACTTAAACAACCAGCCCATAATCTCAAATTTTGTATTATCTCAATAAATAACAAAGAAATATAACAAAATTAGCCTTTTCCATGCAATTAATGTCATGCAACTATATTGTAAGGGAAAGGGTATACATGTCGATTTAATGATATTAAATGTTTTAATATGAATATTTATACCTGTGTATAACTGTAATATTGGCTAAGGGAATTAAAAGAGAGCAATCATGTTATTAAATCTTATAAAGTAGAAAAATATGTGGCCATACCTTGAATTCCAGTTTGATGTGACATTTTCGTTTCACCTTATAAATATTTTAATATCAGAAATTGTAGGAAGGTCTTAATATTTTAGTAACTGTAATATAATGGTTTATCAAATTCTATTTATAACGGGATTCAAAGTGGGAGTTATGGATCTCGGCTACTCGGCTCCGTCAATTCAATAACATGGCTGTGTCAAATTGAAATGTCATCGTAATATGTCAAAGTCAAAATACACAGGATATAAACTAGCACAGGTTATTATATATTTTTAATAATTTTGAACCAAATAAAAAAGTTAAAACAGTAGGCAAGAAAAGTCGTTAGTCGTAAAAAATAAGAACATGAACATTTAAATTATAACCGAAATAATTTTACAACTTTTGTATAATTATAATTACAATTTTTGTTTAAAACAAAACGTGTGCAAATACAATGTAGATCAGCAACACACTTTAGGACAAAAACACTTTAGAAAAAGTGTATAGTGATTTTCTCAAGACAGTATTACAGCTAATCAGATTTAACTTATTTTTAGTAGTTAACTTATTTACTAGCTATTTTAGAATCCAACTTGATTTTTTACTTTTATTTTCAAAAATGTTTGCTTCTTTGTTAAGTAATTAATCAAGCCATCTTAGCCATCGCATTTGTAAACTGTGTTTGTTTAACACTGTGTAGTAAACTAACTCACACATAACTTTACATAACCGAAAGGCTTTCCTAACGTGCAGTTCGTGAAGAGAAATACATAACTATGTTCTAAACGCACAATTGTATATCGTATAGCGTATTTATAATAATGCAACTATTATTTAAATTAAATAAATTTGAGGGATCATAAAAAGTGAAAAAAGAAGTAGTTAAAAATTAAATTTTTGTTTTTACTTTCGAATGTAAACTGTCGGCTTTTAAAAACGCAAAGTTGAGTTACGAACTAAAAACAGTGCTTATTTCAGGTGCACAAAACAGAATCAAAAACATCAATCTTAATTACTCTTGCGGTTGATTAATCTCAGTGATGGATTTTGTAGTTGCCAATTACTCTGCAGCCGCAGGTTATTTTTATTTCTGAATCGGAGCAACTTTTGCACAATTTAATAGTGCTTTAATGGATTAGCTTCTGAGTAAACTCTAGACTTTATTAAGTAGCCATAAACTGATTACAGTCCTCGAGTTTACTTATAAATTATGTAAAACAAACAACTTTATGTCGAACTAACAAGAATTAAGAGTTAAAGCTTAAAAGTTAGCTTATTTAAGTTATTAATGATTTTTTTTTGCGGGGTGATGGGTTGCTCATTATTCTATTGTGATTTTAAGTTATTTGGTATTTTAAGGGCCTGTCCCACTATTGGCTGGTAGAGGCTCAGATAGCTTAAAAATTACGACACTGTCAGATATGGTAAAAAAAAAACGATATTTCCATCACATATTTTACACGTTAGATTGTTATCAGTCAATTTACAATTCGGTGGGACAGGCCCTAAAGATTTTATTACTATTCAAGCTCCAAGATCAATTTAAATTTAAAAACTTATGGACGTAATTGACCATACAATTAAGAAACGTATTTCAAGAACCTTAAAATAGTGATGCTCGTGGAAAAAATACATTCTAAATTCTACGAATAAAAATAAATTGGGATTGCGTATACAGGAAATCCTACTTGAGTTACAGTTGCATGACAAAATCAGCATGCACTATTAATTTTTGTACGACTATTCGTGGAAAGTTTAAGTTGTAAAACTATACGGTTCGTTATCTTGCACTGTACGACACGGTTTTTATGATTACGACCCTAATACAGGTCACTACAGCCTTTGGATTTTATGCAGCCTTTTTAAATATACTATCCAAATAGAAAATAGGATTTGTTCGTTTTAATTGTGCGGAATAACGGATAGAACTAGTGAGCCATCTCCTACAGAGTCAATAGTTTTAGCCTAGTTAACTAAACACACACTTTTTTGTTGCCTAAGATGTCAGCAATTGCAGCATATTCTTGAATAATCCTTTATTAATAAAAAGCCCTAGACTTAAGTCATCCTTTAGGGTACATATTTTCACGCCATTAAACTTAGGTGGTAAATATTTTGGAAAAATATCTTAATGTCGGAAAGAGACCATAAGCAAGATAGCTTAGGTTTGTCATGGCATGTCATTTTGACATTTGTTATTAATAATTTGACAAATGTAAACAATAAAATAAAATTTTCATAATTTCATGCAGATGAAGCCGCACGGAAACAGCTAGTAATTTATAATTGTAATGAGCAATCGGTCAAAAAACTGATGTTGGTTGTTTGGTGTTATCGGCTAAAGTAATAACCTATAAATAAAGGATAATAAAATGTTTTGCAAATTAAAGAGAAGCTTTTCTGATTTATTGTCTAATTTATGGTGATATCTAATGTAGCATTGTAATATCTGTGGTCTTACTTAATAAAAAACAGATAGAAATCAGAATACGTAACAAAACAAGTAAAGTGCCATTGATTTAATGAAATATGTGACCTAATTAAACATTATCGCAACCACCCGACACATGAATTTGCGAGGATGGAATTATAAACAGAGAATTTATATTTTAATTTGATGAAGAGAAATTTTAACTGGCAATACCATTGATTGAACAAATTGTTACATCAGTTATTGTTTTTAATAATATTTCACGTTTACGTGTCAATTTATTATCAAGTTAGAACATATTCAATTATCATTACTCTTGTATGTCTCACAGTCTGTGCTGTTCTTCCATACATTTCAATCAACCGTCATATCTTAATCCACTCCCTTCCTCTTAACCTCTTTTACTCAATCGATCTATACTTTATTTGGACTTCCACTACCTTTTTCGTCTACATTCAGTCTTAACACTTTCTGGTTTAAGTCCCCATCCTCTCCTCGCATAATATGTCTTCATTACGCTAATCTTTTTCTTTTTATTAAGTATACATTTCATAGACGACACTAAAAAAATGCTTTTTAAGTGGTTTTATATTATATTCAAATGAAGTTGCGGCATTAAAATTTATAGTCGCATCGAGGCAAGCGTGTTGTTCACAACAAAGTGCAAATTTTAAAACAACTTTGTCGTGATCTGGTTTACTGCGAACTTTTTTTGCGTGCATAATATAAAAGTTTTTTAAATAGTACTGTGCGCGTGTTAATAAATATAGCGGCAGTTTCACCTAAATAAATTGTACATTAAATAAACAATGTCATTTTTTATTATTAACTAAAATTTAACGACGCATTATTATGTACATAATAGTTAATAGTGTCTAGTCTTAGCTTCATAGATATAGAGTAAAAAACAATGTTACTTTGAAACGCAGTTTTCTAAAAACAAAAAAAATATAATACGTTCTGTAACTACTTTCAAAGTTTAATTATTAATTACTAATATCCAACAAAGATTTTCCCTTGCTTATTCTCTCCCAAAAAAATCGAAAGCTCCAGAAATAATTAGTGAAATGTTTCATCAGTTCAAATTGCAGCTTTTAGTGATGAGCAATAAATTTAAACTAACAAAAACGAATCCTATTCCGCGCAGCTGCGTGCTACCGTGTTAATTGCTCAAAAAGACTTAATGAACAAAGGCCCTCCAGTTTGTGGCTGTGGCTTTCCCACCGTCCGGCTTCAGCCAGTTAAAATAATCATTTTAACGCCATTCCACTTGTACCTTTACTTATTTATATAAACACCGAATGTAATAAAAACTATTTAACTACGTCGTAGTCTTAGACTCCAAAAATTAAACAAAAAAATGGGACCCACCTGCAAGCATTACCTTTCGGATAAAAAAAGAATTATCCAAATCGGTCCACTAGCGGCGGAGTTATGCCGTAACACGCATAAAAAAATAATAAAAAAAAACATATCGACGAATTGAATACCTCCTTCTTTTGGGAAGTCGGTCAAAAAAATTAAAAAGCATATAGCTTTTATTACTCACTGATAACGGAGCTTTTTAATAAAGTACTAATCTTTGAAATCGGCCCATTAGTTTTTGAATTATTTCAATCCGTACAAAAATACAAATCTTCCCTCTTTATAATATTAGTTTAGTACAAGACTCTTGGTTTCAAATGAGACAGGCAGAATTAATGATCCACATTTTATAACTTTACTTTGAGAATCGATCTTTTACATCTATGACTAGCTGTTGCTCGCAATTTCGCCCGCGTGAAACTAAGAAATAATAAAAAACACAGCCTACGTTACACAATGATAACATAGCTTTTTAATGGTAAAAGAATCGACATCGGCCCAGTACTTTTTGAGTTCTTTCCTCTTTGTAATATTATTATAGATATAGGATAAGGCAGAGGAAGACCGAAGAAAGTATAGATAGATTGTGTGACAGAGGATATGCTTAAGAAGGGAGTAGAATCTGACATGACGGCTGATAGAAATGTATTGAAGAGCAGTACATACTGTGCCGACCCTCCATAAGGGATAAGGGCAAGTTGATGATGAAAGAATAGAAAAGTATTTAACTAATCTAGACAAATACTGAAATTATACATGTCAATATAATTGGTTTATAGGTTAGTGCATTGTTTCAATAATTTTCGTTGCCAGTAATCATTATGTGGTCAAATTAAAATAGATAAATGCTGCTTAAAACCAATTTATTCCAATATCATATCCATTATTAGATTTAGAGGAATAAAATTGGTTTTCAATATAAACCCACAGTTAAATAATATATAAAAAATTATACGCTATTTTATATCTGTGATAAGTTACTTAAGATGACAATAACATTAACTTTTACATGGCCAATATATTTATGACGTCATTCCGTTAAATCAGCCGGCAGAAGCAATCTCTGGACAAAATTTCATTATTCCATCCTCGGAAATGTGTTAGACTTTTTTCGATTACATCATTTGTTCACATCTGGCTGCTTATTCTATTTTAGTATCTGTATCCAATATTCTATGCAAAGTAATTTTTGTCCTTAATATTTTTTATTTGACTCCTAATTGCTCTGTTTTAAAATGGAATTTTTAATTCAACGCTCATTTTGACATGCTTCAATATCCGTTAGTTTTATTATAAAAATGGTATGAGGTACTTAAAATGATTGTTAACATATAAATTAATTAATGATTGATGATTTATAAACTGATCTGCGTATGCACGCAGCCTGCACTCGAGCATCCTCTAGTCTGT